GTTTGTTCCACTTTGGAGTAAGCTGTTTGGGGAAGAATCAGTTTTGTTGTGTGTTTCCTTGACTGATGAAGCCTTCTGGATTGCAGGCGAAACGTTTCAGCACAAAAAAAGAAACTGTCCAGATGACCTGACTGAAAAATGTTGTATCTTCTAGAATATGGCGCAAATATTAAACCTAACAAAGAGCGACAATATAAAACATTGCTCAGCAAAGATAGTTTAAAAATAGCTTTGGATGAGGATGAAACATGGATGCGCATACATAAAGGAAATACTAGATCAACTGGCATTTCCACTGAGGTGCTCATTTACATTAATACCAAGTCCATCAATATGAGGGCAAAGCTCTGTCGGAATTAATTTAGAAGATCCGTCTTGCCTTTACTTTCACATTCCCTTCTTCTGCACTGTGCTTGCACAGCAATATCAAAGCCAGAGGCTACACACAGGCTACAAATACATTTTGATATTTTTCCTGCAAGGAGCATATACAAACGTGACCTGGAACAAGAATTACCATATGCACGCATTACTCACACTCCACTAAAGGCTCCAGCTGACAAAGCTGATGTGATCTGCGGATGCATAAAAGAAAAGAAAGGAGAGAAACTGAAAAAAGAACAACAAAAAGGCAGCAGCAGGGGGCAGGTTGTTTCAGACAGTGCACTCATCTTCAGAGTCAACGCCACAAAACTAATTAAATCACATCATCTGACCTGATTCAAAAATGTAGAAAACAAAATCGCCAAACCAAAAGTAATTAAGGCCACTGTTCAGCTGAAAAAAACACAACATTTGCTCACATTTCCTCAACTCCATTAACTTAAGGCTCAATAATTAATTACTGCAGCCAGTTTCATACTTGAAAACTGTGTCATAATTTTTACAAACTTTAGCCCAAGCTCAAACTATTGTCACACAAGCCTCATAAAGAATTAATCTGGAAGTCATAAAATCAAAAAAGTGAAAGCAGCTTCCATGTCTCACCGTTCACATCGTCGCGATAAGGATACAAATAAACGTTCTTTGAAGAAAAATATGAAATTTAAAAGACCAGTGATTCGAAAGCTGATTAACAGGTAGTGGAAAAAGCAAACTTTAATGTCATAAAATTAGTTTCCAAAAAGTGTACTCCGTTAATATTCACATATAGTCACACTTGAGCTAAGTCGTTCAAAAACTGAAACAGGAGAAAAGTTAAATGTGTATTAAGAATAAAAATACAAAGCAATAAAAAATGCTTGCGTTGCAGAAAATGAAAAAGTTGTACTTTTCTTAATGAGGTGGTTCTTAACAAGCCAATGTTTAAAACTAAAACTAACAAAAAAAAAAAGCTAAATTTATAACTAATTTGTAGGGATGCACGATATTATCGGCATGGTATCGGTATCAGCCGATATTAGCGTTTAAGCTAAATATCAGACATCGTCCATTCCATCAAAATAACTCGCCGATATAAAAGACGCTGTTTTTATATGACGACCCAGTGACAAGGACGCCTACAGCGCCAGCACAACGTGACGTCACGTGCGCATACCTGATCTGATCATGGCCGAGAGGAAGAAGTCAAAATGTCAGCGATGTGAAGGGTTTTTTTTCCGTTGAGGACATCTGATTCTAAAGATTTCTGGACTACGTTGAGCCTCGCTACATCGTCCCCAGTCAGAGATATTTTTCCGACGTAGCCTTACTCGAGTTACAAGCCGTCATACTTCCGACATCATTGAGAAGTTAATAGCCGGTAGCGCTTGGGTGAGTTTTACCACAGACGTGTTGACGTGAAGCGTTAGCATGATTAGTCTTACGGCACAATGGATAGACAAAAACTTTGAACTTTAACGTCTGTCCTTCATGCACAGGAGTGCAGAGGATCCCACACTGCAGCTATAGGAACCTGGAACAAACCTCCACAAGTGAGACAGCATCGCAGGTGACTAATGCTAATACATAATATTTAACATCCATCCATCCATCCATTTTTTTTACCCGCTTATTCCATTTTGGGTCACGGGGGTCGCTGGTGCCCATGTCCAGCAATCACTGTGCAAGGGGCGGGGTACACCCTGGACGGGTCGCAAGTCCATCACAGGGACACATAGAGACAAACGAGACAAACAACCATTCACTCTCTCACTCACACCGAGGGACAATTTAGAGTTACCAATTAGCCTAACATGCATGTTTTTGGTCTGTGGGAGGAAACCGGAGTACCCGGAGAAAACCCACGCATGCACGGAGAGAACATGCAAACTCCACCCAGAAAGGCCCCTGGACCGGGGTTTGAACCAGGGACCTGCTCGCTGAGAGGCAGCAGCTCTACCAGTTGCGCCACCGTGCTGCCTAATATTTAACATTTTTAATTTAATATAAGTTAAAGTGCTATGCATATGGCTGTTACTGAATATAGCTCTTACAGCTGTTACACAATGTTTGTAGCAAATAAGGCTAATTAAGAGGGCTATGTTCTGACAAAGGAACTTATATTAAAAATATCGGTATCGGCCAGATAAGTTTCAACACATCAGCCAAAAATCCAATATCGTGCATCCCTACTAATTTGCACCAAGACGCTAAAAATAATGGGTTTTTTTATTCAAAAAAAGGCTAGAAACCACATCTTCACTCACAAAAATTACATGGCATTGTATGCACACACCAAAAAAATCATATTTAAAAGTGGATTTTTGTATTACATGTGTTTCAACTGATTAAAAAAAGTGACCATTCTTAAACTATACGGTAAATAACCCACTCCACTCGTGATTTTTGTTTTAACAATAGGGTATGGCACTGTTATTAACACACAAATATAGGCACTAATCCTAAAAAGGTTGCTGATAATCAACTTGAACTGACAGGAGGTCAGTTTACTTATCATTTTTAGGCGTCAAGGCCAAATGAAGTTTTTACCTTGACATGTGGGGCTGTAATAACACACTTCCTGTTCCTCTCTAAAGGCTTGTTTGGCTGTCAAGTAATGGAAACACGTGTTGACTTGAAAGCATTGTCAATATGAGTATCTCACAAAAATAACGTGCACATGTTCAGGCTGCCAAACCCTGTTATACATAAAAACAGGCACCTTCAAAGCCAAACGTGAACATTATTGTGGGCAACCAGTTGAGTTAATGGGAGCCAAATGTGTTGTACTTGTTCTTCCATTAAGTTCAACACCTACTGGGCCTACTGGCAACAAGAAATTCGTGTAATGGTGCTGGCATGATGATACGTACCGACAAGAATCGTTCAAATCCCAAACAACCCAGCTAATCGCACAAGTTGGGAGACATAAAGGATGCTGTCAAACAAACTCACGGAAAACTACACGGCGCCACAACTGCACATGCGGCCGGTTTGCACAATAAACTCTAAAATTGATTAAAAGTGCACTCTCAATCCAAACGACAGGTCCGCGGAGCTCAGTGGGTAAAAAAAAAAGAAAGCTAAACGTTAGCACGGTCCAACTTCCAGAGACCTCACTTCATCCGTTAGCATGGCTAGCATTAGCTAACTAACTTACCGCTAGCTCGCAGAGAGGTATATACAAATACTAACAAATGGGAAGCCAATGCGCAAACTGTGGCGGAAGAGAGATAAGATATTGCCCTACAAACTTCAACTGCCCCCCAAAAGTCGTGGTTTAACCTCTTCTAGTTATGTTTAGTTAGCCAAGTTAGCTAATGTTACCTTAGCTAGTTCTTGTCGAGTAGTTTTTCCTGCAGAGAATAATCGTGTCGACTATAAATGTGGCTCCTCTGATAACTTCGCCGGCACCGGTCACATGTTAGCTGGCTCCACAACTGATGTAGACGTGATTTAAGCACGCAGACTTAGGGAACAACTGGGAACTGTGTGTTTCCGCCGAGGTTTATATTTCAGCTGCAGGCAGGTAGAAGTAGCATGTGTGTAGCGGCGGCGGCTAGCCGCAGCTAGCTTGATTGTTCCGCGCATAACTTTGCGCGTATATTTGGGGCGCAACCCCGCACGTTTATGGTGCGCTACCGAACCAAGCTTTGACGCTTGTCCTACCACAAACACCCAGCTGTAGGTGCATTTCTAAACAGCCGCTTTTGTTAGAAGCTCGAGAATCAGACGTACCTCACTTCCGTAAATTTGCTGCACGCTCGGCCGCAGCCATGTTTTCAGTCCAGTCAAGTCAAGCAGTTCAGGGTGTGTGAGCAGACAGCAACACTGTCCTTTTACATGTTTACCCCCCGCAAACAGCCCTGTCACTCAAACCCTCTGGATGCAGGACTGTTTATAGAAAGCACACAGATGACTTTTATTTTATCCTCGTTTATTCACAAAATCAAAGAGGCACAGCATCCAGCATGTCAAGTCTTATGGGGTCAGCCTGCGAAAAATAAACTTGCATCTCACCTAAAGGCTAAAAAACTCGGTATATAGCATTCAGATGCCCACCAACAACATGCCCATACACGGAAATAATGCCCTTCATTGATTAGACTGCTGATGGTGCTCATTATAGGTTTTATTTGAGTGAAAACATCTGGATTACGTTCATGAAGAACTTTGCCTTTACATGCAGTTACATGTGTTAATCTGTGCTCGAGTGTTAAGCATGCGTTTATTAGTCTGCCTGCCACTGCTTTACAAAAAAAGAAAATGTATTGACATCATATTAAATTACTCTTTTTGTGATAAATAATCAAGTGCTGAATCCTGACCTGAACTACCGGTACTGATACATTCAAATACAAACTAATTAGCTCGGTGCGTGAACAGTGCAAAAACACAAGTCATTCCTGAGACCACTTAGCAATTACAGTCCCTTCATAACCTTTTTTTTTTTAATATATCAAGTGTCACATTTTGCTCTCCTTCCCATTTGGTGGACAACATTCTCTCACAACAGGAAAAAGAAACGGATACATCTACAGCAAGGCGTTTTGTTTTTATATACATAAGCAACGTGTGGACATACAATGTGCTCATTTGGTCGAGAAAGGAAATATGGCATTCAGAAGAAATTATTTTAGCTGCACAAAATTTAAATGCATGTTTCTGTAACACAAACCTGACACGTGAATCCTACAGTGCTAACAGAAATTTAAGAGCCGTTTATACAGATTTGTACAACATGAAGAATCTTTTCAGACGCGGTAAGATCGCTCCGTCAAAGGCCGTCGCAGAGCAGTAAAGGTGAGGTCCACTGATTCAATGCTTTTTGAATAAAAATAAAAATCAAGTGCAAAATAAAAGGCTTTTTGTTTTTTAAAAAAAACTCCTTAGGGATTTTTTTGTTTGTTTACTGTCAAGTGCTTCATTAAACCGAGCGCGTTTCCATCTCGATTTTCTCCTCCGACTGCGATGGTTCCGCTTCCTGGTGGCTGACGTTTGGTCGGACCGTGACCAGCGGCCCGCCACCGTAGATCGAGTAGAGGAAGTTCCACGTCTCTTCAGAGATCTGCCCCGAGTCTGCGCCTACAAGGTTGGTGCAAGCAAAACCACATTGACATAGACGCCACCCTTATCAGCTTGATTTCACTCATTTTAAACTTTTAAAATCCATAAACAAATACTTGGACACATATATTTAGCATCAAAACACAAATATATGATTATGTACCTTGCTTGAGCACAAAATGGCCATTCTTGTTTACTGTTATCTTGGAATTATCAATAGGTCCTGGTGGATCTTGGAGACAAAAAAAAGAAAGACAATCAGATTTTTTTTAATATATATACAGCTGTAATTTGCACGGTTAATCTTTTTAAAGACATATTTGAAATTCAAAGTGACTCTATGTTAAAATGTCAAAGTATGAAAAGCCTCGTCTGCAACAGGGATTGAAACAAAGATTGGAGGAGCAGAAAAGCCGTTTGCAGACGTTCCTGATGCGACCCGTTATAAATAGATATGACAATGCAAAGAGGGGGAAGCCAAGGAAATGAGATCTATTTTGACACATCATTTGGAAGTTGCAGGAGAGAAATCTGACTCAAGGAGAAAATTCTTTGAAGAACTATTGAGCGTGATGGGAAAAGAAAATCCATTTGTTTGTTGTTTTTAAATAGGTAATTTATGCAAACTATTTAAAAATGTATATGTAAATGTAGTGAGCATGCATCAGGGTATACATTATAATTTAAAAGGCAGATCAGAGCAATAAAACAAGTGATTTCCCCAAGTTAAAGTGTAATTACATATCAGTTGGGATGTATTTAACCTTTAAACCAGACATTTAAACAAGACGGAGGGTGGGTGTGTGTGACGTTGGTCCATTTACCATTGTCTTTTCCTTTGACAAAGCCCTCCCACTCACGAAACCACTGCATGCTGATGCAGTATATGACCACCGGAGACTCCTCCTCCTGGAACGCCTTGTTCAGCTACAGAGAAGGAGCGAGGGAGGAGAAGGAGACAGGAAGTGGGGGAGGAATGAGCGATAGAGACAAGAGGGGGGGAAAGTGAGACAGGGAGGAGTATGGGTAGATTGTAGGGAGGTGACGGGGATAAAATGATTGAGAGGAGAGGGGAAAACTGAATTAATTCTTTCTGGTAGTTATTCTTATTAGAGGACACACTTCACATCTCACTGCACCATTTCTTGGAAATGATGTCTCTGCTCGTTGTCGTCCTCTTTTAACTCGCACACAAAACGTTTATCTCTCCTCCGAGCGGCCATTGTGTGAGCGGGCACACCAAACAGGCGCTAACAGCGGCATCTGTCTCAGCCCATTCACGATCAGGCCGTTATATGGCTCACTCTTATCGTCTGCTGCCGGGGTGCAGAGCACCAACACATGCAGCCCATCAACTTTAAAACAGACGGGGGAAAAGGGCCTAAACGCGCACGTTAGTCCTCGCTGCACAGACGCACACATTATCATCCACATCAGGTGCAGCGGTTTCTTTTCTGGGGCGGTCACTGGAAGGCCGTTTAAGGTCAAATGGATGGAAATGCTCACCCTGACAAACATGTCCAGCTCTGACTTGCGTCGTTTTTCCAGCTTTTCTATTTCAGTTTGGCACGTGTGGCAAACGTACAAGTGGTTGACAGCTGGTCCCCCTCCGTACCTGCAGGAAAAACGCTAAATTAATATAGTCCACGAAGCAAATGACATAACGGGGAATTGAAAAGACGTGCAGCCAGTGGAGCGCACGTACCTGCTGTACAGGTGGTCCCACACGTTCTGTGGCAGCATTACCACCAGGTCATCCACATATGCTGCTTTGTTTGGTGGCACACCTGAAAAAACACGTTTAAAAGACACTGAGGCGTTTCCAAAAGTGATAGCTACGAAGAAATCCATTTCACACGTTTACACGTAAATAAAAAGTTAATTTGAGCTTTTTTTTTTTATTCATGATCAATTTACTTTCCTGTAAGGTGTTCAGAGCTAATTAAGAGTTTAAATATCTGTTTCAAATAAACAGATTGTACCTGTGAGATTTTATGATTATAGCATTTAATTCTGATGTACTTTGTCCATCAAACTAAATAATTTCATTAATTTTGTTTTATCAATTTATTAGGCTCACAAACAATTAATATGGGGCCAAAAACAAGCGAACAGTCAGTATGTGACAGAAAAGTCTACTACCGTATTTTTCGCCGTATAAGTCACACTTTTTTGCAAAAATTTGCAATTCATGCCACTTATAGACCGAAGCAATATACGTTTCCCCCCATATTTATAACCCAACTTTTGGCTGAGATCTGACGATTTCATTCATTATGACATGAAAAATAAACATTACCATTTGCAGCCACTAGAGGGCTGTATGGCAAGCCAAGTGTCTCATTAATAGGTAAAAGTGGCTAATAATGAGACACTTGGCTTGCCATACAGAGCCACCTTTGTCTCGCTCCAGAACTCCTGGTGCAAACGTCAAATCAGCTGCATTTCGCTGCGACGCACAAGTGAAATGCATCTGATTTGACCATTAAAGTGCATTTATTAAGGAAAAGTTCAATTGAAACACAACTTTGCTATAATTTCCAGCAAAAAAATAATTGTTTTTAAATGTTAATCTTCTTAAATTCTTGTTAAAAGTCCTACAGTGCGCGCTCCCGCGGCCACCATTTTGGCAGCCAATCGATTTTTGGCACAACAACGGGCACGTTTCGGAGTGGATGCATAATAGATGCGACTTATACAGTGAAGCGACTTGTTTATGTTTTTTTCCACTTTATTAGAAAATTTTTGGACTGATGCAACTTGTACAGCGGAAAATACGGTATTTACCCGTTGGTTTAAACTATCAGAAGGATCGGTTTATGCACGAGGTGAATTAAAACGATTAATGATTTTTATTTCCTGCACTAACTCCATGTTTTTACATTCAAACAGCATATTAAAGTCATCTCCAATACAATTATGCAAACATAAATTCTGTCTGTATCTCCTAACAGTCTTGTCTTTGTCACATATAAAAAAAAGTACCCATATCTTATTTTGTCATTTCTTAATCTTATTTTGTTTTGTAGCAAAAGGTTCAAAAGACAAAAAGACAAAAAGATTAGTTCTTTGTCACAATTTCAACATTTCGCGTTTATCTCTCTTGAGTAAAAGTCCTTCAGCTTTTTTCCTAATATTAAATATTTCCTACAAAAATATAAGTTTTTTTTTTTTTTAATTAAGTGAGAATATTTTATTTTACTTCTCTTTTAATTTACAAGGTAAAAACTTGTAATTAAGACTTGGGATTTATAAGAAATAAAGGCTGACAGATGTGTCGGGAGACACTGCAGTGTTGGAAAATGTGCATGTGAAGAAGCAGAAAGGACAAGATAAGAAATTGAACCCTGTGATTAAGTAGCACTTAAATGCTGCGTGAGTGTAATTATAATCGTCTGTATTACTCATCAGTTGTCAGCGTAATGGCTCTTTAATTTATCTTTAGTCCAGAATGATCCAAATTCAACCAAATCATTTAAAATACAATTTTCTCTTGTTTTGTTTCTTCTAAAACATTAAATAATGTTAAATAAAAATTAAGAAAATGTAATTATTTAGTTTGTTTTAGGCCATAGAATCTACATTTTTGACTAAAATGAAAATCGGTGCTTCCAGACTTTTGTCAAAACTAAAATCCACAACAAGAATGGAAGCAAAGAGAGCATATAGTAACGTTCCACTATTTGGACACAGTCAGCGAAAGGACAGTCTGACCCTGGAGAGGTTTCAGTTGTACACACCTCCATGCACACACAGGAAGTCGTCATTGGAAATGGGCCCCGGCTCTGCAAACGTCTTGAACTTGTTAAGCCACTGGCGAGAGATGTAGAACTGCAGAAGGCTGGGCTCCATCATGTTGAGTAACCCCGACACTCTCCTACGTTCTTTCACTGCGTCCTCGTTGCTCTTCCTGTGACACAAACAGATTAACCGGATGCAAAAAGATCAAAGCAGGGTGTTGAATTTTAAAAGATCTCGCTGAGCTGTTGTGTACAACAGAATCAATGCCTCTGGCTTACTTATAAAAAAGCACATAGGCTTCAGCGTTCTGGACACAGGACTCGGACACCTCGGTCACACTTTGGTCGTCGAACTCGAACCACAGCTTGTTCACGTCGTTCCTGCAGTACGCGATGTAGTGGCCACCTGGGGTGAGACCCAGAGAGTGTGAGAGCAGTATTCACAAATCCAACGCGTGAATTTCATGTAAAGGCTCCTGAATGCAGGACTCGGTCTGGTGCAGAAAAGCGAGTGATCGTGCCCACTCACTGCTGGCAGTGCCGTGGTGACAGATGACGGACAGCAGGTCATAGTTGGTGGTCTGGGCGGAGCTGTCCTTGGCCAGAAAAGGCTGCAGGTCCAGACCCTCGAGCGGGAACGAGACGTGGGTGCTTATCTTGGTGGAGAACATCAGCTCGTGTCTGAAGCGCTTTAGGTGAATACATAAAATCTGCAGCCGAGAGAATTTCATTCTGTCATTTTAAGGGACATTTGTCATCGCTGGTAAGGAAGTAAGTTTTAACAAAAGCCTCTACCTCTGGCAAATTTTGCATTTTACAAAATTTGACTCCATTTCGTAACCTAAAGGGAAAACAAAAGATGAACGACGACGTTGACTTATGTTGCGATGATACAAATCATTTACAGAACTGAATCGAGCGAAGACTTTCGAAATTACTCACTTTTTGCACTTTTCACAGCTATACATGTTATCTCCTAGAAGAAATGAACACAATTACTGTAATGAGACACCGATCTTGATGTTCGTATTATGAAAGCACGTTCCTCTGCGCATGTGTTTTTACCCTTTAGTTCATCTCTGGCAAAAAAAGCTGCGAGGCAGTCTTGTAGTGTGACCACCGGGCCCCAGAACCAGCTGGAAAAGAAAACAACATCAACTTTGCAGAAAAATCTAAAAGAAAACAGCAAATAATTAGTTTAAAGTGAGAGAACCCAGTGCACAGGTTTTACAGGCACCTTTTGATGTACTCCATGACAAATGCTATCCACCCTTGAGGCGCATAAGCTTCTCCACAGGAACCAGCTTTTACCAGAGAGGTCTGGTGGGTGGACGAGTGGAGTTTGGCCAGGTCTTCCTTTCCCGGAATGGGCAGCGAGATATCCTGGAAGTTCTCCAGGGTCACAGACACCTGACAGCACGAACAGCAAAGCTTTAGCAGGTGGTCACGTTTTAGTTTTTCTTTTAAAAATCTGTTTTCCGTCCCAGTCTGAGTGAATCTCATCTTACAGCCTCGAGTTGTTACAAGTCTGTTGCCCTTCAAACATTAACAGCTTGTTAACGCAGTTAAAATGTAGCATCAGAGCTGAGAAAACCCTTTTTCCTTCATATAAAATTAGACTTTTAGGATGTGAACCTGTGCTTATCCATAAGCCCAGTAAGGATTCAGAGAACAGACAGAACAAAGAACACTAACCCGATCGCAGGTGAGGCACTGAACTGAGCTGACAATGGTCCCGTCAAAGACATCTGAAATGATGCTGTGATATTTCTTCTGACGCTTGTTCTTTGGAGGGGAGAACGAGGTAACTGCTGTCGGGGCAGAGATGCAGAAACATGAGTAAAGTTTGTCCAACACAAGACACAGCAAAGAGAAACAGGGTTTCCAGTTTTCTATCAGTATGACGTCTGATTGAGTCAGTGATAAGATCGAACTTGTGAAGACAAAACGTCTGTACCTTTCTTGTGTGCTGGATTCAGGCTTGGCCAGCTGGAAGCTTTAGGAGGGCTGCTGGACATCTTGGGAATGTGTACCTCCATGGGGACGGGACTTTGCGGTCTTGTGAGGTTTGACATTTGAATCTCTGAAAAACAATCTAGAGGAGGAAAGATCGTTCAGGTTTGCATCAAAAAAATGGGAGAAAGAATGAGAGCTATCCAGGGTCGTTGTTTTGTACATCCTCACCTGATGTTTTTCCTTGAACTTTGATGGCTCCTTGGCTGCTGATAATGGGCGTAGTCTCGGTGGTGGTGTCAACATCTTTGTCGATGTCTGCCCCGGTGCTAACACCGTTAACCCCGGAGCGATAAAGATCATTTATCATGTTCTTCTCCTTCTGCCACTCCCTGTTGGCCTGGACCTCATCCTGCTCAGGAATCAGCATCTCTGCCTCGTTGGTGTTGTCCATCAGCACAGTCCCAGCCTGCACGTCGTTATCGGCCCTCTCGCTGCTACCGCAGGACTCACAGGACTGGAAATCGTTGTCCGACTGGCTGTGGCTGTCCTCCTCAGGGCTGTCATCCATGTTGATGCAGCTGGACTGGTCGTAAGGCTCCGGCATCGACTCTTTCAGCTCCTCATGAAGCTGATCCATTAAGCAGCGCAAGAACTCCTGTGAGTCCTAATGGTCCAGTTGGGATTAAAACACAAAATGTTAGATGATGTTGCCAGGTATTTCTACATCAAATAGAGTTTTTGTCTTTATTGTAGTCAGTGTAGTCTCACTTCCAGAATAAAACACACAAAAACACTATGAAATAAAATAAAGCTATATTTCCTAATCATCCCTGTAAAGCTTCCCCAGAGCTAATCCTTTGTCAAATAGCAAACAAAAACCACTTCTCCTTGCTCAGGCCAATTCTGGATGCCAAAATCCAAAAACCAAACACTCGTGAAAATGTAATTAAACCTAACAAACCTCAAAAATCCAATCTCCTCCTTCAAACCACATTAGCTTTCCTCTCTTGGGAGCTGGAGCGTCATCTTTATTCATCGCAAAGCTACATTCAAGGCTGTGCAGCTCAGTGTGGCGTGACAAATGAATATTCCTTACCTAACCCCTTTAAACAAACTTGAGCAAGCCGCAGGGAAAGAAGAAAAAATATCTCACTCTTCACGGTCTTCAGGCGTACAAAATGCTCTCTTTCCTTCACTGCCCCCAAAAAGCGATTTAATTGAACATCTTTTAAAATCCTCTATGCAGAAACACTTGCTTTCAAAAACCACCTTGGATCAAATCAAATAATTGCCCTTTAGGCGTAACTTGTAGAATTGTGTGCACTAAAGTAAGGATCTTTGAATTAGTAACTTTTCTTGCTCTTTCCAAAGGATTCTGATTGCAGCTAATGAGCTACAGTGAGAGGAAAAGAAACATGAAGGTGGATCTTAAACAAATTTTAATCCTTCAGTAAATTCCACACAAATTTGAAACACATATTACCGTATTTTTTGCCCTTTAAGTCGCAGTTTTTTGCATAATTTACATGCCCTGTGACTTGTACACCAAAGCAATGTATTTATGAATCCCCCCCCCCCCCCCATTTATAAACCGATTTTTGGCTGAGATATGACTGTTTTCATTCATTCTAACTGAAGATATTGAACACTACCATTTTCTGCCGCTAGATGGCAGTCGAGCAGTACGGCATGCCGTTGTATCATGTAAAAGTGGCTACTGATGACACAATCGGCTTGCCACAGCGTGCCACCTTCATCTGCCTGGAGCAAATGTCAAATCAGCTTCATTTCACTGCGCTGCCCCGACGAAATGCAGCTGATTTGATCACTGAAGTGCATTTAATGAGGAAAAGTTAAACTGAGACACACCTTTGCTACAATTTCAAGGAAACAAATAATTGTTTTTAAGTGTTAATCTTGTTAAAGTCCTCCTGTGCACGCTCCCGTGGCCGCCATTTGGCAGCCAATCGATTTTTGGCACAACACCGGCACACATTTCCGGGTTGTCAGCAGTGATCCATAATAGATGCAACTTTTACGGCGAAGCAACACATTTATGGATTTTTCCACTTTATTAGACATTTTTGGGCTGATGCGACTTATAGGGCGGTGCGACGTGTACGGTGGAAAATACGGTATAAGACACAATATCAATGAACGGGTCTGTTTTCATACATAAGGTGCATTAAGCAAAACAAAACAGTCAGATAAGTCAAACTTTATTCAACTCATTCACAAAAACCACATAAAATCGGTTCGAGGTCAGTAAGCACAACCAGAATTAATACAAGAGACGCACCAGATTATAAGACTCACTGTCGATTTTTAAGTGCGCCTTATAGTCCGAAAAATACGGTAATGCAAATATTCTTCATGTTACTGTTTAGTAAAAGTAAAAAAGTATTTTAGGTCAAAACAGCTGACTATTTTAAGAGATTTATAACACACTGCTGAAAGTGTACACCTCAGAGAGAGACCAACTAACATTTATTTAAAAGATGAAAAAGAACCGCTCACCTGCTGAGAATACCCTCTAAACATGGGGTTTACGGATTTGATTCCCTGGAACAAGTTGGTTGGAACCACATAGGAGGGTCTGCAATGTGAGGGGGGGGGGGGGGGGGGGGAAGCCTGCTTTTAGGAAACTGAAACTGCAGTCACATGCGATTTATTGTGAAAAGAGACATTTAAAATTGCTTTTACAAAAACAGCTTCCTGAGCAGCAACCATCTCCCCGTGTTTATCATTTCAGGGTGCAGCAGTATTAAAAGTGACATCTAGTGTCTGGTGAGCAGATGGCTCAATACGCCCACGAGTTCATGCATTTTAAAAACTAATTCAGAACAAAACAAAGAAGGGAGATGCCGACCTGTTCTTGTGCCACAGCTCTGTCACCAGCTTCTGGTAACTTTTGCAGAGAGCAGGCTTCTTGTCTGTTCGTATCAGGCCGCCACATTCAAGGAAAAACTGCGTCAAAGGCGGACTGCGAAGACAAGGAAGAATGAATATTTTATATATAGCCACAGATCTGCTTTTAAGGAATGAATGAATATATTTAATATGTATGTATAATTAACATTGTGTCATGATGTTTACAAAAAACATGAAAATGTATTGTCCGGATTGTTAAAAGTAAAAAGTTTGTTTTACGTTTTAAATTGACATTTTTCGTACTATGATCATTTGGCACTAGCCCAGTTTTTGCCAATAAATTCACAGAAGCTGCACAAGGAAAAAAAAAAAAATGTAGAAAAAAATAATTCAGTTTACGTTTTGCATTTATTCAAAACGCTATCAAACATATTCCTTAACTGGCTTGTGGAGTGAGATCACCATTTATAGTGTCAGAAAACAGTTCATGTGTCTGAGAGTTAAAGGGCGTTCGATTAATGGAAGAGAAAAATAGAAAAGGGAACTTAATTGACACAAAATGGACCAAATTAAAAGGAGTGCAGGGTGAATAAGGCGTGATGGGTTCCCTTCCTTAGGCAACACTGAACCCGACGGTGAGAGGAGCAGCGCTCACACGAGCAGACATCAGGGCAAAAGTTACTGGAAATGTTCCTCCTCCTGCAGCGGCGTGACTCAGATCCTTCTATTTTTGGATTCTTATTTAGATAGCAACTTCTGACTCGCATCTTTACCCATTCTGACTCGTATCCAGAGAAGGTTTTAGTGTTTGCAAACACGTTATTCTTTTCAGAAAGAAGGAAAGGTAAAGGACCAGGAATAAATATACAGAGACTTATTTTACTGCAGAAAATCTAATTTAACTGACCAAAAATAATCAACAATCTAAACATCCACAACAACAATAAACAATAAAAGAAAGTGTCACATTCGCAGAGTAACAAAGGGAATGTTAAGAAGTAAAAAGATTGAGACATGTTAGAAGAGAAAGAGGAAAGAGCAGGCATTGATTGTAACACAAGAGCCCACAGGGAGCTACAAAAGGCCATTTCTGGCTTTTCAAATGGTGCACTGCACCAACTCTCACTCAGCCATCAATCTCCCAAATGAACAGAGCCGTGGTTATTTCTCACCGTCTGCAAGAAGCGGGCAGGCAGTGAATAAAATAGCAAATGTCCACAGGAGGGGTGGGGGGGGGGGGGGGGGGGGGGGGTAGAGTGCTGAAGGTGAGAGCAGTGGAATAAAACAGGAAATAAAAAAGTGCATGGCAAAGATTTGTGAGCTTGATATAGGTTAGAAAACTGACAGGAGGCCTCACCAGTTAGAAAGGGCCTGGAGGGCAGAGTTCATGTAGCAGGTGTTGCCTATATTCTTGAGCCCCGTCAGGCCTGAAAGAGACATAGGTCATCACGAAAGTTAAAAAACACTTCATCAAGTAAATTCAGAGTCAAAGTGTCCGCATGGTAACGATTCTAGGATTAACATTTTAAAGCTGGCACAGAAAAAACCTAACCAGTGTGTTTTAAATCAGCTGTTTAAAAGGTGGACTCCACACCGCAAAACTGCATATGTCAAGTTGTCTTTCCGTGGATCATCACCAAAACACTTTGATACATAAGTTTAGAGCTCCAAAGGCAAGAGACGATAAAGGATTTGCCCGTTTCTGTGTGAAAAATCTCATGAACCACTGGACGGATTTTAATGAAACCCTGCAGATGTTATCAACATCTGCAACAGCTGATAAACCTTCGGAGCCAACTCCTTTCAACAGCTGCCACAGCCAAACCTTAGCATGAGCTCACTCATAACTTCATTACGAAAGTTTGCCCAAAACAGCTCAACCCCATTCGTTTTCTGTTTGTTTGAAACGCTGTCGTGAAAGGAGGCAGGTGACATCATTCCTTCAAGGAATGACATTTAATAACAATTAATTAATTTAATTACAATTAGGCCTGTCACGATAACACATTTTGCTGGCGATTAATTGTCTCAGAAATTATTGTGATAAACAATAATATTGTTTGAAATTTGACAATAATTAGTAATTATTGTCAAATTTAAGAAGAAATGTTGGTTAATTTGTTTTGCATGTAGTAACTACTGTTCGACCATCAGATGGCAGTATAAGACAGTTTGAACTGAAAGATGGATAGCAAGGGAGCAAGCAGCGTGTGTCTTTAAGAAAAATGGGAGAGAGGCCCCTTGACGTGACATGGGCTGTCTCTCTTCGGTTCTCAAAATGGCGGACGCTCCATTTGGTTTCAGCTCTTTAGCATAGCAGTTGTCACACAAAGCTTTTAATAAAAAAAATCAGTAAACAAGTTCTCAGCTTCTTTTTGCAGAAAAAAACTACTTTTTACACGAAGGCACAGGATTCAACCATGAATTTTGGAGCTTTGACAAGACGAAAGTTTTTCCCCCCCCGAGGTCGGCCTGTTAGCTTAGCTCGTAGCTTAGCTGCTTTTAACCGTCCAAAAACACGATTTTTTACGGTTAAAACGGATTTTAAAGAGAAAAGAGAAAGGGAGGGGTCAGTGAAGAACGCCGGAGTTGAGCCTTTTGTCATCCAGTGTCTTCAGTAGAAAGAGAGACACGAAGAAACGATAAAAGCCGATAAATGAAAACGAGGTAGATAATTTTCATTTATCATGCGATTAATTAATTTATTGTTTATCGCAACAGCAACGTGATCATTTTTTATGCGAGGGCATTTCTCCACATCTTTTGAACTTAAATATGTTCTGCAAAATCCTTTCCCACCATTGCGCTCTTTATGTTAATTTAAAACCCTCTAATTTTATACGATCCGTCCATTCAGCCTGAACTAAACCACGTGAAGTTTAACATGAGACATGAGGCGTGTCTCGTGTTACCAGGTGAAATCTTGTGAGTGAGCACTGCTGCTAGGACACCCTGATGCAAACGCACTGTCAGGTAAAGCAATCATTTCAGTCTGCAGGTGCCAGGCTGAGGCAATCAGTGACCCACAGGTTCCAGCGACAGATAATAATCAGTTGTAGAAACTGAATCTAAAAGCTATTTCAGATTCATTGTTACGTGTAAACAGGTTAATTTTATCGCTGTTCTCAGGAATGCTGTCCCGGACGGTTGCTGAGGTGGAGCTGTTAGCAAGAGACTCGAGGCGGGGTGAGGCAACACTCTCATCAGCTTCAGTTCTTTGAAGACGGCCCGAGCCGTCAGGTCCGATACAAAGAAAACCTCGTTTTCTTTTCCAGCTCCACTCACAGCTTTGAACCGACCCGGCGGGTGATTTGGGCGCCCCTCCGTTTCAGGTGTCCATTTTTAATTTAGTCAAACTTAGATCTAGGTGTGATGAAATCTTTTCACATTTTAGTCATTTATCTGACTTGAAAATATTATTCTAATTATTACAATGAAGGAAAAACTATTACAACAACCTTACAGCTGTTGACTGGTATAGCAAGTAAACAAAATCTAAATTGACAACATTCTTACATTTATTTTCTTGACATCTCTTTTGACTGAACAGAACAACACCAGCTGTGATACTGCAGCTCTGTTACCAAACTACTCTTGAATATATCTTAAATGTTAATTTGTACATATATGACATGTTTTATGAACCTAAAACACTCAAACGTAACTTAAATATGTTTTTTGTGTGTGAATAATTAAAATCAACATGGCTGAGTTATTATGACAATCAATGGAAGCTCACCCCTGGCTCGAAGGTCATCCTCCTCTTCTGTCTCCATGTCCAAGTCTTCGCAGCCTCCATTAGAGGGCACTCTCAGAGAAGTTGGGCTCCCAGGGGCCCCTCTGGTATCCTACAGCAACATCAACATACAGACAATATTAAATAAATACCCAAAATATAATATAGTGCAAGCTTTTCTGCAGAATTTACTTCCTAACCTGCTTTTTTAACTGCAATAAATGAAAATGTAGTTTAAGGTAGAAACAAATTTTTTATTATTTTTTTAAAAGAGGGTCTTACCTGACTGGCGTTCTGTGGTAAAGGAAGAGGTTTGATGGTGACGTGGGGGGAGTGAGGACTGAGTTTACGCTCCAGGAAAACTTCTTTGCCACAAGCATAACACCACACGCGGAGTGTAGTCAGATTCACTGTGAGGTTGTGCCTCGTCTCCTACACACAAAGGGTTTAACAGAGAACAAAAAATTTGTTTAGAAAAGATTTTGATCAATACAACTGTAGTTAGGATCTTAAATGCAGCGTGTTACAGTTTGGAAGAGCAGGGATAAAGTCACTCAAATCCAAAAACTAAATGTGCACTAAAAGTGTATTTTTCCTTGGACTGGTCAGTGAGCGATGAGCCGCCTGGTGCTTTGATCTGATGCACCTCTGCTACTTTTAGCTATCCTTTAGCTACTCACTTACTATATTCCTTATTATTGTATCCAACACAGTAGTCCCTCGTTTATCGCGGGGGAGCCACTGTACCCTGAAGCCCCGCGATAAGTGAAAAACCACGAAATAGGGATAGTAGTACAAGTAGTATGTAGTATTTTATTTTAGTATATATATATATATATATATATAAAAAACAGTGTTTTAAACCCTTCCCATACTCTTGCAATATTCTAAACAATGTTTCTAAACTCTAAAAGCTCTAAAAGAGCACAGAATGTCATGATTTCGGCTCCCTTCCTCGTCTGCTCTGTGCCACCTGCAAGAGCTCTCAGCCACGCCCACTCTCTGCTCTGCACGGAGATCAGCTGATCAGCTGCAGGAGGAAGTTCATCCTGCAGTATGGGATGCACAGAGGTGCTAAATAATTTAAAATTTATTTTAAATAAAAATTCCATGCCGATCGTGCAGCTCATCCATCAATCAGCCACTTGTGAGTCATGTCCAATCTTATTTTGAAAAACCGCGATAGGGCGAGTCCGCGATAAAGGAACTGCGAAGTAGAGAGGGACTACTGTATTACAGAGAACAGTAACACCTAACGTTCAGCTAAGCAGTCTTGTCTAGCAGGTTTGCTATTCTTAAACAAAAACTATAATAGGTCGAAGCAGTAAAGGTTTAAAGTGAAAACATTAAATTGTTTTGCTGATAATCATTCTTGAGAACATTTTCTGAGGACTGATCAACTGATGCATAAATCAAACGTCTCCACTCAAAATCTTCAGGTACATTTTTTCCTTAATTTTAATTTATTCTCAGTAACTGTTTGTTGGATATAAGCAGGCGTTCCACCGGTATGAGAATTTAAATAGATGCACTAAAGGGTTAACTGCGTTCAAACAGAGCTGTTTGAGGTTACTTGAAAGGTGGAGGCAGGTTGGTGCTGTTAAAGAAACACGGCGGAGTTCTGATGACCCACTGCCGCTCTGACAAACACCAGAGGTCTGACAGGTTGACACCAGACTGAACGTGAGCAGCAGCCGACCAGCTGACTGTGTATTATTCATCAGGGCGTGCATTAGCTTTCACACAGTGGGACAGATTTCGCAAAAGCTTCACACCAGACGGAGCACAGCCCCAAAACACCCCCCGGTTTAAATCATTCATGAAGGAAAATGTACCGAGCAGAGCACCAATAAAACGCTCCGGCTTTTACATTAAGCAACGCAGAGAATCTTGTGTTTCTGTTAAACCCTTTGACATTATCCTCAAACTGAAAATCCACATCCAAACCTGCGGTAGAAAAGAAAACAATGTTGTAAAACCTGTCCGATCGTTTCAGGCTCAGACATTTAAACTAAAATAAGTACATACAACATTTTTAGTGGAACTCTTCAGTCCTCAGAACCAGCCAATGATTGTGACAACTGGCGTGCACGCCAAAACATTTGAGCAAACATTTTGCCCGTTTTGTTTTGTTGCCTCATTATTCAGTGCAAAAGCATCAGGTCTGATTCAGTCGCTTCTTGCAGAGCTAAGACATTAAGATTCAAATGTTTCCTTCCCTCGGGGCCTCCACAGTACTAATTAAACACGGGCTCCATTCTGGAAAGATTTAAAGTTGCCTTCTAATAAAAACACATTTAGTGCCTGCTAAGTAAGTGAGCCGTCCCCGTGTAGCCAAAGTCTGGATTATGGATGTAAATGCAACTCGGCAGAACAAATTACGGGTTAGCATTTATCTTTTTTCCTTAGTCAACAGCGAGAACACAAGAGGCTGAATAAACTGCAACGCAGCTAGACTGCAGGAGACTGTAACCATGGAACCGGCAGCGTTAGTGAATCTCCCCCACTTCCCGAAGGAATGGCAATTAATAATGGATGATCCACTGCTGAAACTGGACCCAACGTGGAGTAGGCAAAGAAAGTCGGCCGAAAAGGTTTTTCCAGAAAGCGCGTTGCACTTCAAACAGCTTGAAGATTCACGTGCGGGCTCAGTGATCACAAGAAGAGAGGACATGTTAAAAATAAATGCAGCACGAAGGCTAAGGGAGGTAGTTTTATTGAGAGTAATGCTCTCGGGACTCTGATGTGGTATTCAGGCCTAGGATTTCCATCTGTGCCTCCTCTCTACTTATGCCTCATCTTTTCATCTATTTCCAGCTGAACAGTCGAGGCATCCTCCCTTTCAGTTCTACTTCCTTCATGTCTCTTTACCACTGAATCACAACCTTCTGCTCGTTTAAAGAGACTCGGGCAGCTCTGGGATGGCTCACCTGAGAGTGAACAGTGCTGTGGTCAGCATGAGATTCTCCACAGCCCACGTATGCACAGCCATACTAGAGAGGGAAACAATCAGCAGATGAAGGATCCGGGAAGTTAAAAGACAAAGTGTTATGAGGCAATATTTCACATATTTCAGGCAAATATTGGCTTACCTCCAAGCACGCCCACAGGTTTGGTCCCCTGACTTTACAGTCTTGGCACTGGCCCTGAAAAGATTTGTAGAAACTCAGGTAAAATAGAAAATAATAATAACACAAAAATAAAAAAAATATTGGGACAACAAAACTAAATGAACTAGAGTTGGATTTTCTGATGCTAAATGACTGCTGAAAAACTGAAATTAAGTTGTAAAAGCTAAATAAAGCAGAACAGTAGCTAAAGGCTAAAAGGAACAAAGTGAAAGCTAAAAGCTGAAAAAAGCAAAATGCTACCTAAAAGTAACAAAAGACTAACTAAAAACGAAAAGTATCAAAAGGTTAGCTAAAGGCAAAAACAACCAGAACATTAACTACAAGTTAAACTGAGTAAACACCAACTATAGTCAAAAGTAGCAAAAGGCTAGTTAGAGGTTAAATAATAAAAGGCTGACTAAAAAATGAGAAGTAGAAAAATGCTAGCTAAAAGTAGCTCAATAGTAGCTACAAGCTAAATGTGCCCAAACTGTGCCTGAAAGCTAAAAGTTACATATAAGATGACAAAAATGGAGCAAGTATGATAAATCAGCTCGATGATTTGAAGGAACTGAAGAGGCCTCAATGTTTTCATGGTGAAAATATTTGTCCGTAAAGTTAAATATTTTGAAAAATATTTTAAATTTTTTTTGAAAGTTATAGTATTCATGTCTAGAATGATCAGAACTTTACGATATACGTATGAGAAACTAAAATAGCCCAAAGTATTCAACATTTGTGAAATTGCAAAATATGTACAAAAAAACCTACAAATATAGGCAGTAATGCCGATTTAGCATTCTCACCATTAGACTCAGAATTAAGACGTAGTGATGTTTTTGTTTTTTTAATTTACACTTTATTTATCCAGGTAGTCTCATTGAGCCACGAGAACTCATTTTCAAGAGAGACCTGTTTAGGGAGCAGATGGGGGTTAAGGGCCTTGCTCAGAGGCCCAGAGTGGGGTGAATGAGGGTGGAGGCAGGTGTGGGTGTTCCACCTTTTCCACCCACATTTTGATGTTGACGGTACCGGGAGTTGAACCTGCGACTTTCCGATCACAGGCCCATCTTCTAACCTCTGCGCCACCACTCCCCCTATTGATTTGTTACATCAATGAATGAGTTAAACGTCAGCGGGACTCCTTACATGGGACTTCTGAATGAGCTCCTCCTTGGTGATCTCGCCCACGCAGTCCAGGTGGGGGCAGTCGCAGCTGGGCGTCAGCGCCATCGCTCAATGACCGGCCTAAGAGCATGAAAGAGAGAAAGAAAAAGGATATTTAGTTCCAAATTTGCATTTGAAACTAAAAGACTTCCTGAGTTCCAACTTAGTTTTTGTTTAAAATAAATATTTTATTTGACACTCGAACGAGGGAGGAGAAAACACTTAAAGAACACTGAGGACCGGAACAATTGTCAGGTTACTGCAACCTGACTCTTTGCCACATGAGTCTTTCCACAGTTGTTGTTTTCGAAGCAATACTTCATCAGACCGTTGTAAACAACTCAGAACCAGCAGCGTCTGCACGCTGCCACATTTAAATGAGTGAATTTTAACAGCATCCCCTGTAATCAGACACCTGGACGAGCCTTTTATTCTGGTTCTGAGACATCCAAATGATACAAACTGTGGTGGAGAGAGACGGAAACCGTGGGGCTGCTGTATGTAAATACCGTACCCGAGTTCCTGATCACCGTCAGCAGCTGCTGCTTCCAATCGGGTTAGCAGCTGAGCAGTAAAGCTAACAAATATGAAAATGATGACGGTAAACGCTCTGATGTGAATGTGAAAGTCACAGCAGTGATGTGGAGCTCCAATCTACGCTCTCACCCAGATCCATTAGTGGAGGTTAAATGGAAAAGCTAAATCCAGCAGCGTGGTTAAACAAAAAGGGAAGCGTTCATCCTCTACAGCAGTCAGCAGAGAAGCTGCAACCCTGAAAACTACAAAAATTAAAATACAAGACTGCTGTGCAAATAACAGTTATTTTTCTAGCGTCACCGTCTTTAGTTAGGTTTTATGAAATCCATTTTAATCTTTTTCCAAACTTCATATTTGAAGCAATTATTTATAATACAAACCTGATTCCAAAAAAGTTGGGACACTAAACAAATTGTGAATAAAAACTGAATGCAATGATGTGGAGGTGCCAACATCTAATGTTTTATTCAGAATAGAACACAAATCACAGATCAAAAGTTTAAACTGAGAGAATGTTTCATTTTAAGGGAAAAATCTGTTGTTTCCAAATTTCATGGCGTCAACAAATCCCAAAAAAGTTGGGACAAGACCATTTTTACCACTGTGTGGCATCCCCCCTTCTTCTTACAACACTCAACAGACGTCTGGGGACAGAGGAGACCAGTTTCTCCAGTTTAGAAACAGGAATGCTCTCCCATTCATGTCTAATACAGGCCTCTAACTGTTCAATCGTCTTGGGCCTTCTTTGTCGTACCTTCCTCTTTATGATGTGCCAAATGTTCTCTATAGGTGAAAGATCTGGACTGCAGGCTGGCCATTTCAGTACCTGGATCCTTCTCCTACGTAGCCATGATGTTGTGATTGCTGCAGAATGTGGTCTGGCATTATCGTGTTGAAAAATGCAGGGTCTTCCCTGAAAGAGATGACGTCTAGATGGGAGCACATGTTGTTCTAGAACCTGAACATAGTTCTCTGCATTAATGGTGCCTTTCCAGACATGCAAGCTGCCCATGCCACAAGCGCTCATGCAACCCCATACCATCAGTGATGCAGGCTTCTGAACGGAGCGTTGATAACAACTTGGGCTATCCTTGTCCTCTCTGGTCCGGATGACATGGCGTCCCAGTGTTCCATAAAGAACTTCAAATCATGACTCATCTAACCACAGAACAGTCTTCCATTTTGCCACACTCCATTTTAAATGACTCCTGGCCCAGTGCAAACGTATGAGCTTGTGGAGCTTGCTTAGAAATGGCTTCCTCTTTGCACTGTAGAGTTTCAGCTGGCAACGGCGGATGGCACGGTGGATTGTGTTCACTGACAATGCCTTCTGGAAGTATTCCTGAGCCCGTTCTGTTATTTCCCTGACAGTGGCATTCCTGTTTGAGGTGCAGTGACGTTTAAGGGCCCGGAGATCACGAGCATCCAGTAGAGTTTTACGGCCTTGACCCTTACGCACAGCGATTGTTCCAGATTCTCTGAATCTTTTGATGATGTTATGCACGGTTGATGATGATAACTTAAAAGTCTTTGCTATTTTACGCTGGGTAACACCATTCTGGTATTGCTGCACTATCTTTCTGCGCAACAATGGTGGAATTGGTGATCCTCTTACCATCTTGGCTTCTGAGAGACACTGACACTCTGAGAAGCTCTTTTTATACCCAATCATGTTGTCAATTGACCTAATTAGTGTTCATTGGTCTTCCAGCTGTTCCTTATATGCTCAATTTCCTTTTTCCAGCCACTTATTGCAACTTGTCCCAACTTTTTTGGGATTTGTTGACACTGTGAAATTTTGAATCAACATATTTTTCCTTTAAAATGTTACATTTACTCAGATTAAACTTTTGATCTGTCATCTATGTTATATTACGAATAAAATATTGACATTTGCCATCTCCACATCATTGCATTCAGTTTTTATTCACAGTTTGTTTAGTGTCCCAACTTTTTTGGAATCCGGTTTGTAGTATTTTGTAAGTTTACTAGTAATATCAGACCTAAAAACAAGATTAAATGGATTTTATAGGGGTCATAACTTTTGTTTTTACGATTCAATAGTTTCTGCATGCCAGTTGTTAACCCATGTCCTTGCGGTGTTCATCAACATGCTTTTATGCAATTAAAGACTGTTAAATTCCAGTTATATTTTGTGTATTAAAACTAGGGCTGCACAATGAATCAAAAATGTATCGCAAATGATTCAATAATTTGCTGACCACCAGAGCTACACGTAAAAAATAATAAATTTGGCAATCTATTGGAACCAAACTCCACCAAATACCTCAGCTGGCACATTGAAGGAGTTGAAATGACAGAACATGTGGGTTCATCACAACAGATATCATCAAATATTCAAAAGAAATATTGCAATCAAATGCTTCCCTGATATTGTGCAGCTTTTCATAAAACTGAGCAAAACCACTTCACTGCATCAGAATCCTGAATGATGAAAACATTCCCATTCCAAATATTCATGCAAAAGCATCATAACTAGGACATGGGCAGAACTGGTAGAAAATTTAAATTAATTCCTGCTCTTATAGGCTGCAATTACAAACCAGTAACTCAACAGCTTAAAAACACACATTCAGTGGGATGACAGAAAACCATTAGAACCTTCCATTATAAAGTCTTTACACAACGCCAGGGAAAAAAAATTTAAAAAAAAAAAGGAATATGAATCATTGTGAATGACTGACAGAATAAAAGATAACATTATGAGTCAGTTTAGTTTGAGGAAGTACTGCACCGTAAAAAACACGTCTGTCTCTCTGAGCGTACAGAATTACACCCCTTTAAAGTCAATAAAACATAACATCAATAGATTAACAACATGTTCCAATAGAAATATTAACACTATTAATGCAGTGACTGAGGTTAGAGCTTATATTTAGCAACTTTTTACACCAGCTGGGGCCTCAAATAACCAAAATCATATTATTCTCTGTCAAAACGCCAGATCTTTTATGTTTTAAATAAATAGCAAACTGCTTCCTCACTACAGCTCAAGAGTGAGACTTGTACCTTATCTCCCCGTCCTCTACTCGCACTGAACTTTGGAAAGCTAAGAGCAAAGGGTCAAGGGAAACAACTTGGATGAGCCTGCAGCTGCAAACCCAGAGCGACCCAGCAGGAAAATCTGATTAGCTGCTGGTTTCACTACCACAATGGAGAGAATATCTATGCAAACACTCTACACAAATGCAAACTGTTCTTTCACTATCTCCACGAGCTGCACAACATTCCAGGGCATTAAATGCCAGAGGTGGATTAAATAACCAAGTTTATTTACTTTAGCTCTTTGCTGCAGCCATTATATGACAGCTTTATTTACAAATCACTTCCTGGAGTGAAAGAACAGATAAACTGCAACACTTTACAGCCCACTTTATTAGGTCCACCATGCAAGTATCAATTTAGACATCCTCCGTCTTCAGAACCGTCTTAATTATTCATGGTAGTGATGGTAGTATGAAACAAAAGCTTCAAAACATGCTTCGAACCCTGCAGTAAAATTACATCGGACCACTGCTTTGGTGCGGAAGAAGTCACGTGACACACGACGCCCGAAACACAAATTGTTTCGTTGTCGGAATGAATCGCTTGACTAGTTCGCGGTCCAGTCAGTTGATTCCCTGGCACTGACTCGTCTCGATTCTGACAGGTGACTGGTTCAGGTTGAGACAGTTTTGAATTGAGAGCGCTCAACACTATAAAACAGTTCTAAAACGTTTGCAATGTGTTGGGAGAGTAGGTGTTTTTGCTGTTGTGTTGTTGAAATAGTTGAAATAGAGTAATTATGAAGCCAGCCAGGTAAAGAGGTCGTTCTAACGCGTGGATTCATTCTGCTTGCTCATGATAAGATGATTTTGACATTTAAATGTCAAAAAAAAAAGTTATAGTAACGTTCAGCAGTTAATATATCTAACCCATGTATTTAATATAATTACAGTAAAATGATGTATGTGATTTTAATAGTCATAATGGGCTCAAATTTAATTTATATTTACATTATTGTATTGCTACAGGTGCAGTGTTTGGCGTGTTCAACTGAAGTGAAGTATCATGATACCTCCTCTATGATTAGGCACTTCAGCGCCAAACATGGAGATGTCATTTCATTATTTTGTAGAATGATAAAGACTCGGACTCTGCCACAGTTACACAAGCACTATACCATTGCAACATTTGAATTAAATCTCTTCAATGCACATTAATCAGTCTGTATTTGAAAACATGTAAGCATAAACACATTTTCAAATCAGACAACATAGAAAGTTGATGAATTTCAAAAATCTGTTATTTTACCACAGTAAAGTAGTTTCTTTAACACTAGTCATTGAAGTTCTACCACCAAAAGCATAACGCCTAATTTGACAGCAGCATTGCAAATTGCCACAAGAGGTCACTGTAACTGAAGCTTCAGCAAATGAACCTATTTTTGAAACATTTGGCCCGACTGGTTCAATGCTTTATAAAAGCTTCATTTGCTCATCACTAATTCATGGCATTAATTCAACAAGATGTTTGAAACGTTCCTCAGAGGTTCTGGTTCTTCTTGACGTTAGCATCACAGTTTTTGCAGGTTTGTCAGCAGAAGATGACGATGTAAATCACCCATTCCACCACATCCCAAAGGTGATCGATTGGGTTGAGATGGCTATGGAGACCTTTGGGGTCCATCGAATCCAGATCATCAGACCAGGCGATGATTTTCCAATTATTTTACTGTTTAATTTTGGTGTAGCTTCAGTTTCCTGTTCTTAGCTGACAGGAGTGGCACCCGGTGTGGTCTTCTGCTCCTGCAGCCTGACTGTCAAGGTTGGACATGTTGTGTTCAGAGATGGTTTTCTGCAGGCCTCAGTTGGAACAAATCGTTATTTGAGCTACACTACTGCTGGATTATTTCTCTTTTTTTTTTAATCATTCTCTTTAAACTCTGAAGATGAGTTGTGTGTAAAATTCCCAGTAGATCAGTAGTTTGTGAAATACCAAGACCAACAATCCACCACATTCAAAGTCACTTAAATCCCCTTTCTTCCTGTCCTGATAAGCGATTAGAACTTCAACCAGTTGTCTTCAACCCGTCCACATGTCTAAAGCCAGTGAGTTGCTGCCATGTGATTGGCTGATTAACTATTTGTGTCAACAAGTAATTAAGCAGGCGGACCTAACAAAGTGTGCATCATAATGTTACATTAAACAAGCGGTTTCTAAACTTTTTTTCTGTTTGATGACTTGTTTTAAAAGCAGTGTGTATCCTGGGGCGAACTGCAGATGAGATCAGGTTTTATCGTCACCAATATAATTTCAAAATATAGACATGTATATCGCCGCTCATCTTTCGTGCCAAAGTTTTACATAATTTTCTAATGAGAAGGGACGGCACTGTAACCGTTTTGGTCACAACTTGTAAATAACATAATACACAGGCTCATGCAATATAACAAAATCTCAATCCACTAGTGCTCCGAGTATGTGTTAACACTTTGGTTTGTGCAAGGAGGCGATAAAAAAAGTCAAGCTTAACAAAGATGTATGATTAGGCAATATTGAACTGACTGGAGGCAGATTTATGCATCAGAACTTTTGATTTTCTTGCCTCCATTAAATATTGAACAACTCATTTTAATCAGATATTTCTAAACACTGGATTGTATAAAAAGTTAGAGCACTTCTATTTAACAAGTGGTGTCCCGATATACCGATGCTGGTATATTGGCAGCACGACGGCTCAGTGGTTAGCGCTGTTGCCTCACAGCAAGAAGGTCCTGGGTCCAATCCCCGGTTGGACCTGGGGTCTTTCTGTGTGGAGTTTGCATGTTTTTCTCGTGCTTGCGTCGGTTTTCTCCGGGTGCTCCGGTTTCCTCCCACAGACCAAAAACATGCATGTTAGACTGATTGGTAACTCTAAACTGTCCCTAGGTGTGAGTGAGAGCGTGAATGGTTGTTTGTCTCGTTTGTCTCCATGTGTCCCTGTGATGGACCTGCGACTCGTCCAGGGTGTACCCCGCCCCTCGCACAGTGATTGCCGGACATGGGCACCGGCGACCCCCATGACCCAAAATGGAAGAGGCGGGTAAAAGATAATGGATGTTTACAAAGACGTTTTGTAATGTTTAAAGTATTAACTCATTAACTACTTAATATCGATACTCAGTATTTGCAAGTACCCAAGCTGAAGTACTTGTGCTCGGACTGAAAATATAAAATTGGTATTGGGACACCCCTAGTATTTATAAACATAAAATATATATCAGTCTAAAGGATTAAACTTCAAATGCATTTACCGGTATACTAATTAAAATTGTGCTATAATCACTTATGCACTTGAACATTAGTTTAAAATATGACACTTAATGGTTTCAGAGTGTGTTGACGTTGGTTTAGTTAATTTTACTGTTGTAATTGTTTATTTTGGGTGGGGCTTTCGGACAAATTGCAAATAAAAACCTTTGTTCACAGCCAAAAATCTGAACTTAGTAAAATTTATTATTACAACCTTGATTTTCTGACTGACCATTATTATATGAAATATTTAAAGCGCAAAGATAACTCAACTTAAAATCTTAATAAATAAAGACCGCCCTCAAGTTAACCCATTGCGGTCAAAACGTGACGTTAGCCTTGTTACCTGGGGTGGCAGATAGTCATTAAATGTCTATTTTTACTAGCTCTAAAAACAGATTTTTGCCATGGATTTCAAAGGGGGGACGAGTGGCTTCCTTTTCGGATAATTAGCTCACACATTCAGAAGTGTGAGGCTCCGGCCTTGGCCGCTGCTCCTGGAGTGAGCTGTCAAAATCAGGAGAGCTAATCTATCGCTGCTAGCATTAGCCTGCTAGCACCAACTATACAATGACTTCATTGTCTGGGTTGTAAGTTAGCCCTAACACCAACAACTAAAAATGCAAACCGTGGCTGTATTTAGCTACAACACAACTGGAATATTTTGGCGCGATGATTCCTTACTGATAACCATCTCGATGCGAACATGCTAACAGGTTAGCTAGCTAAGGTTACTGGTCTGTGACGATACAACGCAGGAGTCAACATCTCCCCCACCAAAAAAAATATATAAAATAAATTACTTAAATCTGACTTACAAGCTCGATAACGAAGAAACGTCGTTTTTCACGTATATCCGAGTGTCTCCGACGTCTCAGACATATATTTAATCTGTATTTAGGCACATATTTTCTGAACACAAGCCTTCAAACTGTAACGACGGCGATCCTCCGCCTCTCAGCGTGGTTGCTAACGTTACGACGTGGCTCCGCCCCTTTTTCGGTTTAAAAGTATAAACTCCCATCTTCCTCTTTATTTTGTTTACGTCATCTTTATCAACATTATGTCCAAACCTATAGCTGTTGGTCAATGAGCCTTGTATATATGAGGTATATATATATAATATAAATATAAATATTCGGAAATATTCGGAACATGCGCAGCAGATAGGATGAAAATTACACATGGAAACTGTAAAATGATAACATGAAACCTGCATATTAAAGGATGAGTGACCTATAAAATGTAAAAACATTCATCTAAAGTGTGCAGTGCAGCAAACCCATCCCACGTGCCATCTAGCGTAAAAAGCCTTCCAAATAACCCCATGGCATATTTCCAATCAACATAAATCCAAATAAGGAACATCATGATTACAGTGAGGGTAAGGATAACAAATAGGTTTTTAAATAGCAGTGAGTAAGATTTTTGTTTTAAATGTTTAAATTTTAAAATAACTCAAGTTAGTTAGGAGTCAAAGTATGAGCACGCTGGAATTTTAGATTATATTAAAGAGTATGAGGAAAAAATACATTTGGTCCTAAGATATAAAAAGCTTATAAGTTATATTTAATAGGTCAAAAATAATTAGAAAATGAATGGTGATATTTTTAATAATAAAACACCTTAGGTTTTAATTAAATCTGTCCAAATTTTAATGTTCTTTGAAATTATGAGATGGTTTTGTTTTAATACTTGATAATAAGTTTTCTTATTGTGTTTACAAAAGCATAAAAATATCAACAGTTATTGATAGAAATCTGAAAAATTGCTTGAATATATATATATATATATATATATATTTTTTTTTTTTTTAAATCAATAGAATTTCAGGTTTTAAAAAAAGAGTTTGGCGACTTATTCTAGTTTAGGCCTGGACATGACCGATTTATATAGTAAAAACTTTGACATAGTGCTTCAAACGTGCAATTTTAAAAGTAAAAACATGTTTTGCAGAAGCTGTGTGTCCTTTAAAGAATACATTTAACAATGTTTTTATTTTTGTTTCAATATTTTATTCAAAATCACATTCATAATTTTAAATATTGTAAGATCCTTGAAGCATAATCATTTATTTCTTAAACAAAAACTAAAGTTTTCGTGCACAGTCATTGCCTGTAATATCGGATTAAACCACAAGGGGGCAGTAAAACTCTAAAAATAAACGACATGGTCTGCGCTTTTGTTTTGAAAGGAACCGGATGCGCGCGAGCGAGTCCTTCATTCGTCTGTTACTGAGGTCAGTCTGCGCGCTCAAGGTAAAGTCGGGCGCCGTGTCAGTGAAGGAAATCTCTGCAGCTACAGGTAAGAAGTTCTTCAGCGTTTACTGTATTACATTCAGGGAGGAGACATCCAAACAATAAATCTTTGAGCTCTTTCATTTTTAGCTAATTTAACTAATTTGTCTCACGTGCTACCAAAGTTAGCCTTTAGCCTAGTTTGAGCAGGCCGATGAGAGCTCATCGTTTTCTGAAGCGCCATGTGCTGCAGTGATTGCAAAAAGTTGTGAAATTAGCTGCTTCTCTGGTCTTAAGAATGGCTTTATCTATAACATTAATTTTGTAAATAGTCGAGGAAGTTTGTCATTGTTTGGGAGATCTTTTGGGGTGTTGTTAATGCTAATTTTTAGGGGAGCACCGATAAATCGGCTGACCGATTTATCGTCCCCGATTTCCTTAATTGGGAAATCAGAAATCGGCCAATACTCGCATGAGAAACCGATTTTACCGATTTTTTTTTTGTTTTTGTTTTAACAACAATTGTCTGAACTTCATTTATATTTCAGAGCACTACCTCATGGCCAGTTAAAACAAGTTTGTATTGTTTCTAGGATATTGTTCAAGGGTGTTTTTCAATAAAACAAGATTGTAAAATTGAAGGTGCATTGTGACCTTGTAACAGCTGACAGTGTCACTTATAAAACAAAATCGGTATCGACAGATCAGACTTTTTAGAAATCAGTGATCGGCCAGAAAACTGCAATCGGTGCACCCCTACATTTTATTGCAATAACTTTCTTGTGAATAAAACAAAATTTCAGTAAGAAAATGGTAATTAACCACCTAAAGTTTAACAAATACAGTCAAAGAAATTTAAAGGGGGGAGCCAAAAGTAACTAGTTTTTTTTACTGCCGTTTGTTTGATAGTAATCATTTAAAAAGAGCTTTAAAATGTTTGTCTAACTTTATTTTTTCCTATCATTCATCTCATTTAATGGTGTTTGTCCCCAGCTTTATGTACAGTACTGCATTGCTGTAAAACAGATTTAAAATGCAACAAAATCAAGTTTTCCAATGTAGGCAGTTGAATGTTAAAATGCAAAATAAAAAATCCCAACATTTAAAATGTGTATTAAACTCGCATTGAGCTCCAGAGGATTTATTTAATGTGTGTGGACCAGATTGGAGGCTCTTGTGTCAAACTATTTGGACTTTCTGTTCATCCAGGTGGTTTCCTGCCAACTCAGTTATTTGGTTAAAGAAAGCAGAAAGATATCCGTAGATTAAAACTCAAATTTTCTCCACAGACTGCTGCCTTGCTCATTTGAAGTGTGCAGTGTACTGAAGGGTCTTGTTAATTTGTTACTGTGTTCATTTTTGTGACTTAAGTGGGAAATTAAAGTGTGAATTATGTTTTTGTTTTTTTGTCTAAAACTTTGTTCAGTTTATTTGAATAATTGAAGCCCACCTTTGTACAGCACATTCAGTCCTTATATAACAGTGTCCTTATATCCCCTCGTGAGCCTCCGAGGATAAACCTTCCCTCCTGTCGTCCACTTCAGCTCCAGTGAAACGATGATGAGGACGAAACCATCGCCAAGTCATGGATAGAGCGCCACAATGACACATGAGACGCTCGCGAGCTCCCAGCTGTCTGTTAAAGCCGCTGCCCTTCGCATGGTTGACCTTCCACTTTTCGTGTGCAGCTCGCTGGCACAGGTGAGTGTCTGAAAGGGCTGTTCACTTCTTGCAGGGATCTATTTTCAGGTACGCCGTGCTTCTAAATCATCACTTTTCCAAATGGTCTTCACTAGCAGTTTGTTAGAAACGGTAAACGTGATATAATGTATGAATCCTGAAACAACTTTTAAGTTTAAATAATTGTTTTCATGAAAATAATTAGTATTTCCAATGCATGGACTATGTATTTTTTTTTTATTTAGCTGAAATGTTGGACAGTACTCTAGAATGTCTGATTTATTTTTTGCGAAACACTCATTTTTGTCCACCGGACGATAATGTTTTTCTATTTGCGCAACTGTTTGTGGCTTTTTTAGGACCTTTCCTGTTTTAGTTGCTTTAACAACCAGTAGTTCTTATGGGGGCCAAAGTCTGAAAAGTCACCGAGTGCACAATCGAAGAAGCAATTAGCTGTCGTGAGTTTTCCCAGAAAACGTTTGTTTCACTTTGTGTCCTCCGGTAAACGGTTCCCATTAGTTCCCCACACGTTGCTGTTCCCATAAAGAACAGGAGTGTTTGTTTGATGTGAGTCATGGAGCTGGTCTGGTGTAATCACGCTGAGCGTCTGGCAGCAGCGGGTTGGGATGATGGTGCCCAACTCTGTCGTAATGTTCTGTGGTACCTGCTGTTGATTACTGCTAGTTACATCCGTTTCAACTTTAATCACCAGTTTTCAAATTAACACTTCCCGTTGATCCGAAGGATGGAAAAAAGTTCCTAGTTCCTGGCTTTCCGTTCAGTGATGCAACATTTTTTAATGTTGCAAATGCATCAAAATGCATTAAAGGGTGGCTCCTTAATAAAAGTTATTAGTGAGTCTCCTGAAGGTCGTCAAACGTCTCGGAGGCACACAGCCCCGTCACTTGAGTTTTAACCATTTTCAAAAAGTCATTGACTCCTCAGAGACAGCCATAGTCAAAGTGGTTGTGGCTCCTCGGACTGATGAAGTCCTTTGGATGAAGCACAAAGCGACTCAACAAAAAAGAAACCATCCAGATTACCCAACGTTTTTCAGTCAGGTCATCTGGACAGTTTCTTTTTTTGTGCTGAAACGTTTCGCCTTCGATCCGGAAGGCTTCATCAGTCAAGGAAACGCACAACAAAACTGATTTGTCCTTCAACAAAGTGGAACATACCAGTTCTGCTTGTGATAAGATGGTCTCTGTGGTACGCCCCTCCTCCATTGCCGGCCCTCTTCCTTGTTGACAATCTTGTCAAACTGGTTGAAAACAACAAAGTCCATGCTCAATAATCCAGGTATAAAATCCAATCTAATCACAAGCAGAACTGGTTTGTTCCACCTTGGAGTAAGCTGTTAGGGAAGAATCAGTTTTATTGTGTGTTTCCTTGACTGATGAAGCCTTCTGGATCGAAGGCGAAACGTTTCAGCACAAAAAAAGAAACTGTTCAGATGACCTGGTTGAAAAATGTTGGATTTTATACCTGGATTATTGAACATGGACTTTGTTGTCATCCAGATTACCTGACTGAACTTTGTTGGATTATTTACCTGGATTACTGAGCATGAACCTGGATGTTCTTAACTTTCGTTGGATTTTTATCATCCAGGTGAGCGTCAGCGCCAGCACCAAGAAACTGGTGGCTGCCACCGCCTTCGGCACCGTCTCGCTCCTCCTCCTTGCTCGTCGCTTTCAGAGGAGGAAGGGTAGAAAAAAGGGTCACCCGCCACCGTGGGAGCAGGCTGAGTTTGAGCTTTACACCACTGCAGAAAATGGTGAGGACACATTTTTCACTGTCTGTGCTCCATTTACAAAGTATTCCCATTTGCTGCTTTGAGACGCATTATTTACGTATATATGTATTTGCATCCATAAATCCACCTCCAGCTCTGATCATTTACATAGTTTTGCTCACGGTTTAGAACTGAGATTAATCAGATGTACATATTTTATTTGCCTGATGCAACAACTCCTTGCTGAAGTGTCTTATTCTTAAATGATACTGTCGTTTATTCAAAAACAGACTCGGACAGAAAGTAAACAACCGTCTACTGCAGCAAATAATAATTCCCTTCATGGCTCAGCCTGCCGTCCTGCAGTCTTCAGATGTTTCTCCGTGTTCTCATCTTTGAAAGTCTGAACTTTCATCTCCACAGATAACACCAGTCAAAACATCAGTATTTCCCTCAACTCTCAAAACACCTGCTCAGCTGGTTCAGGTCTGGTTCTCACCACAAGAGATTACAGGAAACTGTCCGGCTCCCTGACGAGCCTGGCCTCAGTGAGTCCGAGCCCAGAAATCTTCTTGAATCGCATACGAGCAGTTATTTTAGTTTCTTGGCCTTCACGGTGGACATGTTTGGCTTTTCTTGTCTTCGCAGGTAAAAAGCGTGAACTCGTCCAGCAGCAGCACCTGTGCAGATCTGACCGCCTGTTGGGACGGACTGGGGGACGCTGACGTCTCCAGTGTGGTCGACTTATCCGTCACCACGCCTGAAAACCTCTATCTAATGGGTAAAGAAACTCGTGTGCCCCTAAAACTAAACCCAGAGCTAAGATGACAAGAAGTACATAAATAATCAAAAATCAAATGTGTGTTATCGTTTGTTTCTTTGGTGAGTTACTTGCTTTGACATTTAAAAAAAACTGGTTTTATTTGTTTTAACTAACTCTGTGTGTTTTCAATCAGGCATGGATTTATTCGAGGAGGCTCTGCAGCACTGGGAGGAGGCGCTGACGTTCAGGAGCAGGCCGACTGAAGACGACGCGAGCTGCACGTCGGTCAAATCAGGAGCTGGAGACGCCGTCACTGAGCAGAACATGGAGGTGAGACAGCTTCCTCTGAAGATCCAGACTGAAGGCGTGCGTTTAGATATTCTGTTGTTGTTGAGCGCCGTCGTGTTTTTGAGCGTTCGCACTAAGAGTTGACGCCGGTGCGTGCTGATGTTGCAGCAACATCATTCTGAAATCTCAGGTGTTTTCTGAAGGACGGAGCCGTTCTTTGTAATCTTTATGAGTAAGGTGGACGGATCTTACACACTCACAGAGGAAGTACGGCATGACAGCCTTCCAGTTTTTATAACATCTGCCTCATTGAATTTGATTGATGGTTTATTGAACAGGAGCCATGTTCAATAGTATTAACGACAAAGAAAATATGTTTTGTACCAGATTATCAGAACTACTTTCCATCTGGTGTCCCTGAAATACACGTTAACGTTTCACGAGACTACTGATCCCGCTCGGTGCTGGTTTTCTTTTGGATATGGCACATTGAAAGGTTTTTGAATATCGCAGGTCAGATGTTTAAATCTGTACGTAAAACAGGCGCCGAGGCTTCTGATTGGTCTTCGGTTGAGGAAACCTTTGACTCCCGTGTCTCTTCAGAGAAGACAAAAAATTAAGACCACGGAAATTTTTTTAACAAGAACAAAAGAAGTACAATCAGGTCAAGGTGCTGTCTTACACTGAAGGTTGTAGTTCCTGTAGCGCTGCAGAATGTTAGTAAAATATATCGTGCAATGTTGTAAATACCGTAATTTCCAGACTATAAGCCGCTGCTTTTTTCACAGTATTTGAACACGGCGGCTTATACAACGCTGCAGTTAGATTTCTTTTTTGATAGACTAACGAGCTTCATGCCGCCAAAACATTTAGCCTCGTCACACCCGGGTGCTCACATAGCTGCCCAATACACGTCTCTCTTGGGGGGTGGGTCCTCATGACTTAATGAGACTACCTGTATAAATAAATGTTAAAAAAATCTGATCGATGAGATTACCGAACAGGTTATATATAGACGAGCGCAGCCTATGTAGGTATGGACCAAATTATAATTTTTTTAATTTAGTGAGCTCGGCTTATATTCAGGTGCACTCAATTGTCCAGAAATTACGGTATGACTTACAGTAAACAAATACTTTTTCTTTTGTATCTAATTTCCTTAAATTGAGTGCATCTAGAGCAGGAAGGGTCCATCTGACTGATTATGTTACCGACATGCAGAGAACAATTCACAGGGTTTGAAAATGTAATATTCTGTCATTTATTAGTGTCCAAACTGTCCTCTGTGATTTTAATATTGTGCAGCCGCACGTAAAAGGACTCTTGTTCTTATTTGGTATAACAAAATAAAGGTTTTAAAGTGTATCTGCCCTTGTCTGATCCACGCTTGTGTTCAGGACGCGATCAGTGTGGAGTTCATCCACAGGCTGAAGGCTCTGCTGCAGAGAGCTTATCGCCTGCAGGAGGAGTTTGAGGGCGTGTTGGGGACGTCTGAGCCTTCATCCCACAGCAGCAGCAGCAGCCAGGGTGAGTCACTCAGTGTTATGTGACTCTGTGGCCTACAGACAAAATGGACCCGAGCCAGGAAAATCGAAAGTAATCGAGGTTTTCTTTGTCCTGTGTTCAACCCGTCACTGATTTTAATGTTTCAAAAGGGAAGACAACAAGCTTCTCATTTATCAGACTAAGTTTGTCTACAAGTTGGATTGATAACACTCGGAGTTATGAAATAACCTTTTCTGTTTGTTAAAATGAACTTTTCATTCTATTTCGGACGTTTTGAGTCCAAAAAACTCAGTTCAGTAGCACGGAGCCTTTTGCTTTGAGAAGATTTATTCAAATGTGGCCATCTCTATGTTGTGACCTTTTTAAACCCCCTCGCAGATCAAATCGCAGACTTTTTGGCCAGAGACGAGCTGGACGACGTCTGTCTGAGGGACAGCAACAGCATCGCTTCCACAGACTCTTTTGTGTCGGCTGCTGAGGTAAGAGATGCTTTTATATTTGTTTCTTTCTGGAAACTGATCGAATTATATCGTTTACACAACAAGGTTTACAAAAGTAAAAATATGTGCAACTACAATAATAATTGGTAAGAAATAAGTATATTTGGTTTATTTCACTGAGCAGAATTCTCATAAATTTACACAAATGAGTGTTTTTTTTTATTGTGTGAAACTGTTTTTTTTTTTTTTTTTTTTTTTACATTTTAGATGTTAAAGTTCAGTTTCTTTTTTACATTTAAGTCTAAAGGATGACATAACGATGAGATTTGGTGCAACGACGACTCTTAAGCATCTTATCTGAAGCCGTCTGACACGTTGGATCTATGTCTGGTTCGCAGCAGGAGTTTGACTCAAATAGCCGTGATCTTCCTGCGGTTACCAAAACTCACTTCATCCTCTTTACTTAAGGCTCTGGGGGGGCTGAGCTGTGTGTCCGGTGGTGTGGTGGATTTTCTGTCATGGTGGACTCGAGAGTTACACAAGAGAATGTTGCAGCAGGTTCAACAGAGTCTGCAGAAGTCGTGGCAAGAATCAAAACGAAGCAGATACGAACTTGGGGGGGCTCGCGAGTCGACCCACGAGCGAATCAGCTTCCAGGAAGCGCTCGTGATCAGAGCGTGCACATGCAGAGGGAGGGCTGGCTGTGCATTTCTTTGAAATTTAACAAGATAACCACCTAAAAACAATTATTTGTTTGCTCGACATTATAGGGCATGTTGGCTGTGGCTGAGTGGTTAGAGCAGTCGTCCTCCAATGCAAGAGTTGGGGGTTCGAATCCACCAGCAGTCACATGCTAAAGAGTCCCTGGGCAAGACACTGAGCCCCTCGTTGCCTCTGATGTGTCCTATCAGTGTATGAATGTGATAAAGTAGTGTAAAGTGCTTTGAGTATCTCGATAAGATAGAAAGACACTATATAAGTACAGTCCATTTATAGTAAAGGTGTGTCTCAGTTGAACTTTTCCTTAATAAATGCACTTTAATGATCAAATCAGCTGCATTTCGCCTGAGCGGTGCAGTGAAATGCAGCTGATTTGATGTTTGCTCCAGGAGTTGAGGAGCGAGACGAAGGTGGCTCAGTATGGCAAGCCAAGTGTCTCATTAATAGCCACTTTTCCTATTTGAGACACTTGGCTTGCCATATAGGTTGAGGGCCCTCTAGCGGCTAAAAATGCTAGTTCAATATTTTCCATGTCAGAATGAATAAAATCGTCCGATCTCAGCCAAAAATTGGGTTATAAATATGGAAAAAACGTATATTAGTCACTTCAGTGTATAAGTCACAGGACTTGCAAATTTATGCAAAAAAGTGCGACTTATATGGCAAAAACTAATAAAGTAATCATGACGCACTGAAACCGTACTCCTTTATTTTCACGTCTGTCCCTGTCAAATCTATATTACCATACACTTTTTGTAGATTTTTCAACTTACAAGCAATATTTAAAAAAAACGAAAAATCTGCAATAGCAAATGCAAATTAATTTAACCTTCATGTGTACAGGTTAATGAACCTCGAGGACTCATTTACAAGAGACCTGTTTTAGACAAAGAACACAGATGAGGTACAGACAACAATAGACAGTAAATAAAATCATAAAATGAAAAGTAGATGGAAGAAATTATATAAAAATGAAAATAAAACAAGCTACATTATAAAGCGATGTAAAAAAAAACAACTAAAAACAGGAACGTCCCCAACAAAAATCTGTGAGGTTTAAGAATTTGTGCAAACATTAACAATAGTTTAATGTGTTAAAGGCACTAAGAGGCATATAATGTATTAATGAAGCCCTGACTGTTCTTTTTGTACCCTTCAAGTTTTTATTTCATCCCTCATGGTGTGTTTGTGTCTCTCAGCCTCAGCTGTCGGAGCACAGGGAGCTGAGGAGCGCCTTCGCTCTGGGACATCACCCCATGTACGAGGAGGCGCTGCACATGGCCGAAGAGGGCAGCATCTCCTGCAGGGTGCTTCGGTAAATACCAGAAACTCGGCTGTACGTTAATGAGGCTGGGTATGAACTTTGTCAAGGTATTAAAAGGGCAAACGCAGTAACGATATCCAGACGAGACCTCATATTTTTGGGTTGTTTTAAAATCGGATTGGTGCATTCTGTCATAAACGAGGGGGTTTAGCGTTTTAAATTTTAACTAATGTTCATGAGTTCAGAGCTGGATGTGAAACTTTTCTTCTTTCAGGACAGAGATTCTGGGCTGTTACAGCGACTTGGACTTCCTGGCTAAGCTGCACTGTGTTCGGCAGGCTTGTCAGGTACAGTCTTATTCAATCATTTAACCATGCTTCCCACTTTAGATCAGTTTTCGTCAAATGTTATTTTGTCTGCAGCTGGTTTTGCGCGACAGAGCGACCAGAATGTTTCTGGCTGACACGGGAAAGAAAATCCTGTCTTCCATCATCGTTAAAGCTCACAAAGTAAGTCCGAAGGTGTGGCTAGTGAGTAAAATTATTTCACGGGGCGTTGGTTTCTGAGGTTTTAAATGTTTATTTCCCAGAGTCCAAAGAGATTTGAGGAAGTGTTTGAGGAGTTGATCTGCTTCCTGGAGCACACGGAGCACTGGGAGGACACGGAGATGGAGCTGGTTTCACGAGGGGTTAGTTTGAATTTTATATATATACGATATGACCATTACTGGATTTTGTACCTGGATGACTGAGCATGTTTTGAATATTATACATTATTTTAAACGGTTAAGTCACGCCTTTCGTTGGAGATCTTTAAAGTGTTTGATACTTGATGCAGGTTAGGCATTTGAACTTCTATGACGTCGTTCTGGACTTTATCCTGATGGACTCCTTCCAGGACCTGGAGAATCCTCCGATCTCCATCCAGAACGTCATCAACAACCGCTGGCTCAACAGCTCCTTCAAGGAGACGGTGAGTAAAACAAAGAGAAAGCTAAATTATAACCACATTTTGTAGACGTATTGTCCGTTTCTTTTGTATTTGTACTGAGACTCGTTTGTGTCACAGGCGGTGGCATCAAGCTGTTGGTCTGTGCTGAAGCAGAAGAGGCAGCACATGAAGGTTTTTATTTATTTATGATAACAGGACTGTGAGTGTTAACTCCGGATGTCACTCAGCGTCAGTTATCTGCATCCTTCCAGGTGCCCGATGGCTTCGTCGCCCACCTCTGCGCTGTGTGTGAACAGATCAGTCCCGTTCTGGCCTGGGGCTTCCTGGGACCAAAGAGCTCCCTGCACGACTTCTGTTGCTTTTTTAAGGTAAGGGTAGCAGTGGAGCTGAGACGTAAAACCACAGGACTCGTGCAGCCGTGATATTTCTTAAAACTAAAGCAGCTGCTCAATAGACGCGTTGCCTGCCTGGTCTCCTTTGCTGTTAGCTGTAGCTAGCTAGCTGTAGCGGGATCAATCAGCGTAGAGAAAGGATTGTTTGTATATACCGAATAAATATTTGTAGTGTTGCACGGACAGAAACCTTGTGCGCCAAAGTTTTTCAGATTTATCAGGTTTCATATGTAAATAAAATTATCATCAGCAAACAAACATTTATCTCGTGCTATTAACTTTACTTAATGGAGATATAGAAACCACATCCAGCCAAGCACTGAACCCTGAGGAACTGCAAGACCAACTGGTGAATGAAGTCATTGTTTACGTGAATGAAAAGAAATTTAGATCTGTTCCTGTAATCCCAATCCCATCCTTGTACCGTACATTTTAAGACTCTGGAGGTTGAGCATCTTTTTTCCATTCATTCAACTTTTACTTACACAGGTTGGTCCCATTGAGCCTCAGGGACTCATTTACAAGAGAACTGAAAACGAGTCTTTCAGAATACACCTGTGTTTTACTGCACAACTTAATTCATGCTCATTAGTTATCAATACCCCACCCGTTCTGTCCTGATGCTCATACATCTCATCTTTCCTGCAGGACCAGGTGCTCCACTTCCTGAAGGACGTTTTTGACCTGGACAAAGTGCGTTACTCCACGGTGGATAGTCTGGCGGAGGACATGCTCCACCTGCTGTACCGGCGCTCCGAGCTGCTGCTGGCCTACTTGGGAGCAGACTTCCCTCGGCCTCCCAACGGCTGCAACGCCACGCAGGTGCAGCTAGTCCCCAGCGCCCTGCTGGAGGCACATGTGCAGTAGGACGACACGTTCTGTGGTCAGTTCACAGCAACCATTGGACCAAAGAAAATAAGGCATATCGCTTTTTTCTGTTGACTCTTTGAAAACGTATGTAAACTGTCAAATCCACTCACCTGCCATCATGCTGTGCTTTGTGGATTCAGGTAAACTGCACAAACCGCCTGCCTTCAAACACATCTCCCCACCCACTTCCACAGTGCCATAGTAAACGTATCAGCAATAATATTTGTGACTTAAACCTGATGTTGGGTTCTCCACTCTCTAGTATAGGGCAAATTATTTGCAAGACTGTGACACTAAAAAATATTTATCCTATTTATTTGATTGTAAATGATGCAGGGTTTGTTTTGTAGACGTACTCGTGGCTGTTGAAGCTTCAAACTTAAAGTAGGCTGTGTTAAGATTCAAGTGTCCACGTCTTACTGCATTGTTGTTTCGTAAGTAAATGCACAGGAATAACTGAGAAAACCAGCTTCGGTGTTGTGTTCAGATACTTGAAAAAGGAACTAGACTCAACCCATGAAAACTTTAGATGTACTTGGTCCTGCAACAGCTTCATCAATGCAAATTATTCAAGCCATGCCAGTCTTGAATGTCTGTTTTGAAACATACTGTCGTTATCTGTTCAACCACTGCCATGTAGAGAACATGCACAACTAACTGCACAAACGTAAAGCTGTCATTCTTTTCTCCCAACTGTAATGTTAAAGAGTCTGCCATTGTAACGCATCTTTAGGAGTCTCCTAAAGAAAAGCAATCACTTTTTTAATGAAGACAAAATTTATGGTTTACGCCTTGGAAGAGTTCGAGTTTGAGGTTTTAAAGGTCTGGTCCTTTGGTCAAAATGAGCCATGAAGTCTCAGGAAAGTTAATTTAGGTCCATGTGAATTAATGCTAAACTAATTACAAACTTACATGAAAGGGTAGCAACAGAGAAGTTTATATTTGCCAATAAAACCTACACATTTTCAAAGACTACATTTAGATCAATTACTTTGGGGCATAGAAAGTTGTACGCACGTGATGGGTATTGAAGTCTGACTGTGTGTTGTATCAAATAAACAAGTTCAAACTTGAAATGAGTTCATTTCTGCAAAGCACAACTCTGAGACAAGCCAGCTTTATAACAACCTTTATTGATGAACATGGCAACATTTCAATAGTGAAGTCAATTGGAAGAAAAAAAAAACAATAAGATGTAATATACAGCACATGAAACCTTGTTTACCTCTAAGGTATGCTCCTTTCCTCCTCTACACACGAACTGTGTTGAAACACTGAGCACCTCACGTGTACAACGAACAGCTTCAATCAAAAGAAAACCTTTTTCACTACAGTGAAGTGTTTTTTAAACCGATAACCTCCATGTTTGCTTTCAGTGAAACTGCATCAGTTCCTGCTCTCGTCCAACTTTTAAATTTTTAAAAAGGCATTCAGAAACAACCATCAGCTCTACAAACACTATGGCATCATGGAGAACAAGTTTAACGAAGCAACACTTTGCAATCAACAGGTTTTAAATTTCATTGCTGCTTTACCTTATCAGTGGAGCTCTTGAACGGTTATGTTCAGCAGCGGGATAGACTCAAAGGATTCCTCCTTTTTGTGGGGAAGAGGGGACAAACTACGAGACAGCCTGATTTTACGATCTAAGCCTGCGGCATCCTCCAACACTGTGAGCGAGAAGGCAGCAGCGTTTCAATAACACATCTGCACCGCATTCCAGGGCAGATTCACACCACAGCAAAATACGTGAAAGGAAATATTTCACTTTTTGTCGTTTCACTTAACATTTGAGCACATTGCTAACTTCTGGCAACAGGTTTGCAGAGCATGCATTCATTTCAACAGTGTCAACCTAAAGCATCAGTTGCTTAGACTTACCAGACAACCCTTTTGTCAAAAAGTACGCACATACATTTACATTTATGCAACTTTTTGAGAAGCAAAATCACTTTTAAGAATAAGACCATCAGATAAGTGATACAGCTCATCATGCAGTTCAATATACAAAGGAAATACCAAAACAGGACTGCTCAGGTAAAAATCCTTCACATTTTACTACCAAGCATAAATGCATTGAAGCATGTTAACACAGGTAAGCATTTCTTTGCATGTATATAGGTCATATCACCGGACAAAATATAACACTTGTTTCCTTAGGTTTCGCTTACCTGTGTTATTGCAGCAGAACCTAAGGTGCAAGGTCTGGGATGACACTGCAAAGATCAGATATACCGTACTGTTTGCCATCAGTGAACAATGCAGTCAAATATCGTTCTGATGTTCATTTAACAGCCTGTCGACATTTAACCCCGTCAGGAAAATACCGTCTACCAGCATTCCACATGCTTATACGGGACACGTAAAGAGCAAAAAAACCTAAGCATGCTACACTGGCATTAAACGAGTTGACTTTTCCGATCAAAATATTGCATGAAATAGCTTTTTTTTTTTTTTTTACATGACCTAACAATGGCAATCAGAGCAGATATTGGGAACGCAGAAAACCAGATCCCTAAAACAATTCTACCAGCAGTGAAACAATAAGACATTCAAAACCCCCGAAGTTCAGTAAACCAGCCCTGAAATGCTACCAACACAATCGAATGCAATGTCACAAGACTCAGAAACGTGGTACAAGAATTCATGTCTCATTTATGCCTCTCCTCAGAACGTTTTCATACTTACCTAAAAGAAAAAATGGGGATGGGGGGATTGCAATTTCTGACAAAACACTACATTTTTGCAGTTTATAAAGCATCACACGACGTTTACTTTTCAGTTTTGTACTTACATTACAGGAGGGCTCAACTGATGGATGAAGAGGCTGCTTAGCCACCCCCGGCCCTACGAAATCTACGTTTTCATATGGGATAAACACTAACAAAACGGGCACAGCAAAAACGACTTTTTTGCAATGTTTTTATACGTAAAAAAACATCATAAATAAAAATTATACACAAATTGGACAGGGGCAAGTGTTTGAAATACATTTTTCTTTTATCGAACAGTGGCAATTTACCTGACTGCCCTGGAAAAAGAACAGCACAAAAATATAGAGCACTAAAATATGATGCAACAGTTCTTGAAACCACATTTTCTGAGGTACAAGTTCAACGATACCTGCTTACCGCTTTTTCTAAACTTGCCTGTGGAGGAAGTGACTATCAATGCAAAGAAAATGCAGTGCATACTAGCTCAACAATGTCTGCAAACCAGGCGAAAAGCAGAGAGCCACAGCAACAGTTGATGCGCGATACGGTACAGATACCTCAAATGTGTCTACTGCTACAATCAGCAATGTCAGAGAAAACAGGAAGTGTCAAAGAAAACCGTCTACCAGCGAGGACAATTGAACCGTTCTGGATCACAGCACGCACATATTTCTAAGAGCCTTATGAACAGTTGGAGAGAGACAGGACAGCACAACTTCTGTCAACTTTTTAGGACAATTCAACCCACACAACCTACTTTTCAAACTCCTCCCCAAACAGGTAAACAAAAAAAAAAACAACACATTGATTTAAACTCGTTTGGATTGGACCACCCCAACTTACCAACACAGGAGGTTTCAGTTTGTTTTATTGCAAAAACACAACAGGCAATAATAGCATTTTTAAAACTGAGATGATTTACATTGTAATGTCTACAGTTTATTAAACAGGAGTTCTAACCACATTTAATGTAGATACAGGGCTGGAATGACCGTATGTATAATTACCTCACTAAAAACATAGCATTTACAAGAAAAAAAAACAAACAAACAAAAAAAAACAAAAAACAGAAGAAATAAATCAGAGAGGACGTGTTCGCCGGGTAATCTGCCATCTATGTGAAACACTTTCAAACCAAGGAAATTTAAGATCTTCATCAAGGCGTCAGCATCCAAACATTTAACAAAGGATTTTGTTTCGACAATGTAGCATTTACTTTATGTCCACTTCACATTACTGGCCCTGTGCAGAGGAAATACATAGAAGATACATTGCATGTTAACAGCAGAAACAGTGGACTCAGCTTCCCAAAATAAAAAGCTAAAAAAAGGGGGAAAGAGTAGTTTGGTTAAGTTTTTGAGGCTGTGGTTGTCACTGGATCCCTGTAAAACCCTGAGGAAGGAAGGTTATGACACAAAGATGGTGGTTTAAGAGAATATAACGAGCAGATTCTTAACGGGGGTGTACCTGAGGGGCTTGTGGCGCTCCACCCATGGCCTGAGGGTTGGCTGTGCCGTAGTAAGCAGCCTGCTGCCGGTAGTACTCGGCCCAGGCGGCGCTGTAGTCCGGCTGGCCTCCAGGCTGCGCGGCTGGTGCTGCAGCAGCTGGTGCGGGCTGAGGCGCAGCTTGGCCTGAAGAGTCAAAACGCCCCAAAAACAAATAGTTGGTAAAGCCAACGAGTTGAAAACAATTGATACAACTGAGAAATAAAAAAGGTACGTTGCTTCTAAACTAGGACTGCATCAGAATTGGAAATAAACCCTAAAGAATGTGCGACTAGGACAAATCTTCTGATCAAAGACACAAAGTCCAAGTTCAGGCCTTGCAATCAAATCAATGCCGAGTGTTGATTGACACCTGGGAGTCAATTGAGGGAACATTATCTTCAACCCAGCATCTCAAAATTCATAGTTTCTCCTTGATTCTGTTTACATCCAGATTATTTTATCGACCAAAATCTGCCACACACTGTCTGAAGTGTACTTTGTCGTGATTGAATGTAAACAATTGACTCAACTAGGAATGCACAATATTATCGGCATGTTATCGGCCGATACAAGCGTTAAAAGTTCAATATCGGACATTCCATTAAAATAACTCGGCAGACATAAAAGGTGCTGGTTTTGCCTGCAGCGGCAGCACAACGTGACAATGTCACGTGCGCCTACCCGATCTCACAGCGGAGAGGAAAATTCAAAATGACGGCGGTGTGCAAGTTTTATTTTTAATTTGTGAGGATGTCGAATTTCTAAGATTTATGGACTATGTTGAACCTCGCTACATCGTCCCGTCGGAGATATTTTTCCGACGTAACGCTATCGAGTTACAAGCCGTCATTTCCGACGTCACTGAGAAGCTAACAGCACGACTTGTTGGGTGAGTTTTACCACAAACATTTGGACGTCGTGTTAGCCCCATTAGCATGATATGGCACAGGAGTGCAGAGGATCCCACACTGAAGCTAGGAACCTGGAACAAGCCTCCACAAGGGAGACAGCATCACAGGTGACTAAAACTAATAAATAACATTTAACACATTTCATTTAATATAAGTTAAAGTATGCATATCATATGGTGTTATTGAATATATGTCACCAGCTCTTACAGCTGTTGCACAATTTTTGTAGCAAATAAGCCTAAATAAGATGCTATGTTCTGACAAAGGAACGTATATAGAAATTTGGTATTGGTCAAATTAGTTTTAACATATCGGGCAAAAATCTAATATTGTGCATCCCTAGACTCAACTGTTAAAGCTAAACAGCTGATTATACCCCTTTATCACAAATTATACAGTACACTTTTAGTTATGAATTATGCAAATTATTTACTTTTATCATAGATGATGCACATAAAAATTCAAACATAAACCAAGAGAAACGCGTACTCCATTCTGCTTTTCGGGGGTTATGTCAGTTCAGCAGGTCCTACATCAAGGCTCGGGACACATTACGTTCACACTATCAAACGTTCACAAATAAGCGGTCCAGACATCCTTCAAAGGTGGTTAGAAAACCTCTAACTTTGTATTCAGGTCGTTCGCAATAGTTTAGGAGTTATCCGATCACTCAGGATTGATTTTAATGCAAGGTGTGAACAGGGCTACATGAAGTACATACATTTCAACCGCTCATCATATATTGGGGTGTAGAAACAGCCGCGACATCCCTCAGTATTCAATCCCATAGAGAATGACTTTAATCTTAGACTGATTTTAATCTTAAGAAAAAGAGCCAAACAAGAGAACGCCCCTGTAAAATCAAAACAGGACTCATCTTCATGTAGCCACTTTCTAATCCAACATGGAAAAACTCCACGCTTAACTATTAGAAGATCCAACAAAATTAGAGACAGGAGACGCTGTAAGAAGGGGAACGAACCCACCACCCATCTCTTTGGGTTGCGAGTCAGAAACCTTTTGCTTTTTTCTTGGGTGGTTGTTAAAACAGCAACTCTACCATAGAGGGCTGCGAGTGGAGACAACCACCCTTAAACATTTATTTTAAAAGGTTGTAGGGCTGGGCAATACGGACCTAAATTAATATCTTCATGGCACATTTATAAAAAAAATAAAATAAAAAAAACAGTTGTAAATGTACAAAAGAAATGTAAAACAAAATACATTTTTTTTACATATATTAAATAATAATCCTCTTCATATGCACCACCTTCACAACATTAGTTAGCGTTTGAACTGTAGCTCGACTGTCGACTTCAGCCTCCTTCACAGAGACAAACCACGGGTCAAAACTAATTTAGCCGTGCTGTGCCTTATGAGAGGACAGCGAGAGGTAGCGCGACATGTGACAGCTTAGCCATCTTGTTCCACAGTTGAAACTGGGACCGTCTCTTTAGTGATTTAAGCCACTACTCTATTATTGTTGCGCTACATGTCACTGTTCCACTCAAAAGACGCAGCTCAATTAGTTTGGACCCGTGGTTCGTCTCAGGGAAGGAGGCTGAAGTCAACAGTCGGAGCTGCAGTTTCACACACGATTCATACTCCACGCGCTTTTTTAAACGGTGAAAAAGAGTCGTAGGGGCGACTTTTTGTAGGGACTTGTTTTCGGCATCGTCTACAGAAAACATTTTTCTGCTGCTCATCTAACAATTTAAATCCAAACCATCTCCAAATAACAGCTACTGTTTTTCTTTTTGCTCAGCAGTTAAAAGCTGCACTTTGATGTCCTGTCCTGTGTTTACTTGTTGTGTTAACTCCCGCCCACCCGGAGAAACAGGAAGCTGGGGGAGCACATGCAGGTGAGGGGCTGGGTTTGTATTCAACGAGGGAGGGGCCGCGTGAAGTTGGCGCAGACGGAAGAAAAACAACAACGTGGATTTTCAAGTCTAATTATAACTCAACGTAGAAATATTGATATAGATGATGTAGCCCCATCTTATATCGCGTATGGAATTATCTCAATATTTTTTAAATATCGAGATATCGTCCAGCCCTAAAAGGGGGCTAGCTAATTTTTCCCCCAGATTCTAAACTTCGATAAGACCAAATGCACTTGAAAAGCAGCTAATTAAAAAGGAAATTATTCTACTCGGATATACAATGTAGTTTTTAAATAAAAAATAATAAATAAAATGTATGTTACTTAAATGCTCACAAAAAGAAAATAAGAAAAGGGGGGGGGGGTTAATTTCCTGAGTACTAACCTTGTTTCTTGTAATACTCCTCCCAGGCTTTAGTGTAGTCCTGAGGTGGCTGGTTCTGCTGACCTGCAAAAAGCAAAGAAAGCAAAATATGTTAATGCATCCAAGTGCGGAATAATGTTAAAAAATAAAAATAAATAAAATCACATCTTATAATAAAGTCACAGATAAAACAAGCTAATTAAATAAAACTTCTTGCACTTTCAGTACCAGCAACACAACTGGGACACATGGCAAAAACTGTCATCAGTTCAGATAAAATCCTTACAATGAACAACAACAAGCAACTTTTAAGCTTATAAAGGTGATTCAGTCAACAGCGCAGTCCTGGAGATAATTGAAATGTTGCAGTCTAAACAGCACAGGTATCAAATGTCAAAACAAGTGCAGGCACACTGAACAAACAGCAAGCCAACAAAAACCCAGACCTGAAAAAGAAGCAGATTTATGGCCCTGTGACTGTTTAGACTGACTTGTTTTAACAAGTGTACACTGAAACTACATTTATATACCCATTTTCTTGTAATATTCCTCCCAGGCCTTGGTGTAATCTGTCTGTCCACCCTGACCTGGAGCCTGTGGATCACCTGTTAAAAAAAACAGCACTTGCAATTAGTGAGTTAGTCCCAGCTGTTTGTCCTCCACCTGCAAAGCAAAGTCATTAAAAAGTTAGGACGATTCAGGCTGCCTTCAGTCGGAAACACCAACAGGCCTGACTCTAGTCAACTACGCGTTCCTATGCGCCCCCTCTTTAAAGAGCACCCACCTTGGCCGTTGGGCTGAGCCGTTCCTGGAGCTCCGCTGGCTGGAGTCATCGAGGGCTGCGGCTGCTGGCCATACTGAGCGTAGTAGGCAGCCCACGCTGCAGCGTTGGCATCAGCTGCTGCTTTATCTGGACAAAGATAAGTTTTATTAAATGAAAATATGTGTAGATATAAACAGTGCTTCTAGCTGTTTTAGATTAACATTTTGTTTAGAATACAGTAGTCCAGTTTATCACGGGGGTTCTGTTCCCAGCCCCTCTAAAAGAGCGCAGCATGTCATGATCTCCGCTCTCGGCCACGTCCACTTCTCCGCTGCAATCGCTGGCAGAGAGCGAAGATCATGACATGCTGTAGGAGGGAGCTTCTCTCTGCAGCTGCGGGCTGCACACAGGTGCAGCAAGTGCTAAATCATTTAAAATATTTTTTTTTAAAAAGTTTAATCCATGCGGCTCATCCATCAATCAGCCAGTTGTCTGTCTTGTCCAATCTTACTTTGAAAAACCCACAAAAGAGCGAGTCCGCGAAAGTAAACAGCGAAGAGGTGAGAGACTGCTGTATTTGGTTGAGACTTGCAAATACTCACTTGGATCAGGTTGTCCCTGCTGCCAGTGGGGATACCCATTGCCCCATCCTTGAGGTTGATAAGGAGCAGGAGGGCCACTGTTGGAAAAAATAAACCATCAGCTGTCCATTTCCTTCAATTCTACAGAATATTTACAATAAACTTTAAATGTGACTGGGCTTACTGTGGTCCTGGAGGCCCCTGGTTGTATGGTCCGGGGTTGTAAGGTCCCATTGGAGCCCCTGGAGGACCTGGTGGTCCCGGAGGGCCATGTGGGCCTGGTCCGCCATGTGGACCAGGTGGACCATGTGGGCCACCCATTGGAGTAACCGGACCCTGAAATAAACAAATAAAACAACTCAGTAAATTAAGGTCATTTTATAGGGCTGGGTGATATGGACCAAAATTAATACCTCAATATTTTAAGATGAATGTCTATATACGATACATATCTTGATATTTTTCTTTCCGTAAAGTAATAAAAATATATTTCTGAGTCAAAGCTTTGTCCCACAGGCACATTTATTAACAAACAGTTGTAACTGTACAAAATAAAGACTAAAAATTAACTATTTACATATATTAAATAAATCTCTTCAGCTGTGTCGCCTTCATGTTAGCTAGCCTTGTTGTCTTTAGCCATCTTGTTTCACAGTTGAGATTGGGACCTTGTCTTTAGCGATATAAGCCACTGCTTTAATAAAGTCACTCTACCTCTCACAGTTCCTCTCAAGGCACAGCACAGCTAAATTGGTTTAGTACCGTGGTTAGTTTCAGGGAAGGAGCTGAAGTCAGTCGAAGCTGCAGCTTCATACTCCACTTGTAGTGGATTTGTAGTGCTGACCTTTTGTCAGGACTGGTTTTCAGCATATTCCACTGCATCATTGTGCTCGGGTCTCAGATTGGTTGTGGTTGGGGTTATGCATCAGCTTGTCAGCGTGGTGCATGAATTTTCATCATAGACCAAACACCTTGAGCAGTATGAAATTCTCAATTTTTTTTTTTTTAAATCTCAAGATGTCGCCCAACCCTATTGTCCAACTCTTTTGTCTTAACGGGATGGACAGTAATATACAATACTTTCAATATCTTACCCCTATTTTCTCCTCCACCAGCTGCCTGGCGTAGTCGATCTGTTGAGGGGAGCCCCTGATTGTGAACATCTTTAAGTTGGGATCAGAATTGGGTGGAGGATTCCTCTGCAGCTCGATCCTGGCGCCAGACTGTTGGCTGATGCCCTTGATTGTCTCACCACCTAATTGAAAGTCCGCAAACATTCAAGTTTAGCTTCACAATACATTTCTATTAATCATAGTTTTTCTTTTATAATAAACGCACGTTTATTAAAAGTAAAAAAGGTACCACTTACCTTTTCCAATGATCAGACCAGTTTTCATGGTTGGGACGGTGAAGGTAAACTCCTGCAGGCCACCGGGAGGGCCCATGTTCCAGTTGCCCTGCCCACGACCACGCCCTCTGCCACCCCCATGTCCTGGGGGTCCTCCAGCCTGAACGCTCGTCAGCAGGTCAGTGATTATCTCTGCTGCATGCTGAGTCTGGTCTGGCGGACCCATGATTTGTGCTATCCTGTCGGGTGTGGTGCCATCATCTGGAACAAAAATGGTAATTAGAAATTACCAAAACACCATAACTTTAAATCACTAAACCTGTGCGTAATTTACCATATTTTAAATATTGTACTGTATTATTGCGTTCAGGTCTCAGATTGGTTGTGGTTGGGGGTTATGCATCAGCTTGTCAGCGTGGTGCATGAATTTTCATCATAGACCAAACACCCTGAGCAGCTTTCAGATTATTCAGTGTATTAGCTCACCTGGTTTAAACTGAATTCTGACTCCTGTGTCATTCTGGATTTTCTTGATCATTTCTCCATTCCTGCCAATAACAATTCCTACAGCAAACCGTGGGACTGGAACCTGAAATGGCATAAAAATAAATTGGGGATCAAAATCATGTTGTTAAAAGTGGTAAAACGATGTAATGACTACTCACATCTAAGCTGTCTCCTCCTCCGAGCCTTGAGCCATACTCGCCCCTCTGCTCCCTGAAGCCGTGGTCTCTGATCAGCTCCATCACCATCTCTTTGGCTTGCTGAAAAACAAAGAAAATCTATTTACATCTTGGACAAAAAGCATGCTACTTGATTTGTGCCCTCACTAGGACAAAAAGTAAATCTTTTAATAACGTGTCCCCAATGAGCACACAAGCCGCAAGATGACTCACCTGAACTTTAAAGGGATCTCCTGAAATGCGAAGTGGCTTGTCTGCGCCCGTGTTTTGAGGTCCATCTTGAATCATGACCATCTTAACCCCACCTCGCTCCTAAAATTAAGACAAAACGCATAAATCAGTAAGTGTATTCTGGACTTCAGTCCCCTACGTTGGCACCTCGTCCTTGGATCAAACCCTCACCTGAAGGCTTTTGATGGTTTCTCCTCCCTTTCCGATGACGAGGCCAGCTTTAGTAGCAGGCACCATGATTTCCTGAACAGTCATTCCCGGGCCTTCGTTGTGGTGGAACACGGGAGCTGGACGTCCCTTCTCTACTATTTCTGTTAATAACCTCTTTGCAGTCCTGATGGAGACAAAAATAAATAAATAAAACAAAATTCTGAACTACATTTAATTCAGTTTATCAAAAGAACTCTGTTAGGAAAATATGAAATAAGATCTGTAATATAGTAGTCCCTCATTTATCGCGGGGCTACAGATCCCCCGCGATAAGTGAAAAACCGTGAAGTAGGAATAGTAGTACAAGTAGTAGTAGTTTATTTTTATGCGTTATCGTATTAACGCAGCAAATAGTTAATGTTGACAATTATTTTAACGTGCGTTAATATGATTGGGTTTCGTTTTGTCCTCCATAATTTCTCTCCTCGGCGTCTATGAACACACGCGCGGACACACAGCGCTCCAGCCGGGGGCCAGCTTTCCAGCAAGACGGGGTCCGCCTCAACAAGGATTACATCCAGTGTTTCCCCTAGATAACTTGCCACGGCGGGGCGCTCATCTCGTCCGTGATTTTTGTTCGGGGAGGGGGGATGAAGACTCGTCCTAAACTGCAGAGCGCTGTTTAAACCAACAGTTTTAGAGGGGGGTGGGGGACACAGAGACAGCCACGCTTTTTGAACTGACAGTTTTAGTTTTAGAGCAGGGTGTGTGAGACGGACGACAGAGACGCTAGTTTAGGCCCTATTTACACGGACACGATGGGGGGAAACGTAGGTTTTTTCGTATGTTAATTAGAGGAAAAGATTTGCGTTGACACGGTCGGATTTTGTGTTTACATGCATCCTGGATGAATCCCCCCCCGCGCTCCCGAATCTGCTGTAGTTACCATGCCGGGTCATTAGATGGCGTTGTGAATTTTGTACTTTCACCTATTGCGCATGCGTGCTGCCTGGGCACGCTCTTTTCCTCTGGGCTAAAACTTCAGCTAACAACAACATAACAAGTTAAAGCTGGATTTTGGCTGGATTGTGGATGAGTCGACAGATTTGACGCCAAGCGGGACCGCATCATCTAACAGCTCCACATCGGTCGCTGAGTGGACCAGAACAGAGTCGAAGATGTCGGACTTTACTCCGTGATAATCAGTAGCTGTTTTACAGCAGGCAAATAAATCAACGTTCTTAATAACGTTTGCTTGTGTTTACTTCGGTCACAAAACATCCAACTGAGTTTTTATTTTTTCCTGAAAGAAGAAGAAGCTGTCCTCCCACCAGGCGGACCGGTTCTGAACGAGGCTCGGCCCAGGTGCAGTGCAGGAGGAAGTCGAAGAGAGAGATGTTGGATGAACTTATTTATTTAAAATTCCCCTTGGTTCTTTTATTCAATCTATTGAATGTTTTAAGCTGCATTAATCAAAGGAGTGACAGCCTGAACGAGCCAGATGGACAACGTGGGACATCCAGGATGAAAACAGAGGAAGAGACCAGTTCATTAATGCAGTTTACAGTTAACGTGTTTTTAATCGTGTGTTCAGTTTAATTATCAGTGTTTGTGTGACATACAGTTTGTGGTAGGAATGCACGATATAAATGGGACACGGTAGAAACGATAGAAATTTAGCCTATGATAGAGATCTGTCTTCTACCGGCTAACCGCAGTAACGCTGTGTCTGAAGTAAAATCAGAACCGTCAGTTTAATTGTTACTTTTTTTTAGCTGAAAAATGTGCGAAAGTGGCATTAAAGTCTTTTCTTTGAGAGCCAAGTAGCGAAGCTACAAGCTAACTACAGCCGGCTTGCCGTAGCGTTGCCGTATTCTGACGCATGCGCAAAACGCTGTGTTCCGTTGAAAGGTTTTTTTTTCCACATCGAAAGTTAAAGTAAGCGTTGGTCATTTTAGAGAAACCTGCTCTCTGATCTGTGAAAAGAACGCTGTGTTGTGTGATTTTACTGCGAGACCCTCTGGTCAAAGCCACACACTCATTTTGTGTCAACTCTCCATTAAAGCAGGAGTCGCCCACTAGAGGGTTGGAGGGTGAAGTGTTTCAGTGTAAAATGCTGCTCTGTTGCTGTTCATTTCTTAAGTGAGAAGACTGGAAACTGTTAAGAGTTGACATAATTTTTTGTTTAAAACATAAGGCTAAAACTACATTTGATATATTTTGTACTGTACTACAAGAAAGAAGCCTAATACTTGATTTGTTTATTATTTAAAAACTCTGGACCTAGTAGTAGAATTTTCTTAATTCAAAATATATGATGGCAAAAGGACACCCTATGCTTTTTTTTTAGCAAGTTTTATACCAAAAACATATCTCGATATATCGTTATTGCTATCCTTCACAATACATATTGTGATATGAATTTTATGCCATATCGCACATTCCTAGTTTGTGGTGTTGAATAAATAAAAATTAAACCTGATGTCTTCATTTTCAACATTAATAGCATGCAATATGTTTAGCATCATTTTAATCACATAATTTGAATTACATAATGTCCAGATAGCTTAACTTAGCTCAGAGAGCTTCATTATATATTTCAAACTAAAGACAAATACTGTTTATTATTATTAAACTTATTGTTTAGTATGTTATAGTGCAGCGTGACGTGTGCGCGTGCCTCGTTCTATAAACGGCAACATTAGAACTGGATCCGACTGGTGTCTCTTGCAACACAGATGTCGGTCACAGCCCCTGGAATCTGACGTAGATCAACTACGAGATTAAAAATATATTCATCAGTCGTAGTTCTGAAAGCACTGTGTCCGCCGCCATGCTGACAGAAATATAGCGTCTGTCCACACGTGCGTGCATGTAGTTCGAAACAAAGCCTCAGCGGGAGATGTTTACATTATCAGCGGGGGGTCAGTGAAAAACCTTCACTCTGGAAGGTGGGTTCAGAAACCTCTGGATTCAAAGAGGGGGGTCACTGGTGTCGTGTAAATGAACAGCAGAACCGCAGCGAGAAAGCTGCGGATGCACTCAAATACACGCCGTGTAAACGGCCCCTTAGTGTTACGTCAGTGCCGACAGGTTGTTGGGTTCGGTAAACGGGGCTCGGTTCTGTTGACGGGGCACCCCGCTTGTATAGTGGTAGGGTAAACACCGACATCCAATCACACTAAAGCTCGCGTTGTCTTGATCAGTTACTAACAGGAAGGCGGGTCGTAGAAAAGCAAGCCGGTGGATAGCTGAAGGTCTGGCTGGCTCTGTTGGAGCGGCAGTTCGGGTCATAAATGCAGCATGGATTTCAGCAATTCCATTTGAATTTGTGTCAAAAGTACAGACATTAAGCTACACACTAGTTTTTAAATAGTGTCGACTGACCAAGCCAAATCAGAGTTATGATAAATTAATCCATGCAACTTCTTATTTCCTGAACATCAGATCTGAAGCGGCTTTGAGCAGAGACTGCAGACTGATAAACGAACCGCCAAGTGGCGAGGGACTACTGTAAAAGATGGAGCTAGGTTGTTGAGAGCTTTGTAGGTTAGAAGTAAGATTTTGAATTCTATTGTAAATTTGACAGAGAGTCAATGGAGTAAGAGGGATTAATAGGTTTTCAGAAAGTTTAAATGCACACAACATTTTCACCTTTATATAGCTTGTAAAGAAGGCGTCGACACTTACTGGATTGATTCTGGAGATCCTGTTAGTGTAACAGATCGGTCTGGCATTCCACCGCTATCTACAAAATAAAAAGGAAGATCTGTAGACATAAAGAGACTTTCCTCAAAGGTCCCTCATCTATGTTTACCTACATAAGTAACTTGATTCAATAACCATTTTAGAGAGCAATAAGTAGCCTGACCAACAGCTCTCCTTGTGTGAATAGAGCACATTCGACTCACCTCAAGCATTCCAACACCCCCACCCCGGTTGACAACTGCCAGCACTAATGTAGCATTAAAATAGCATGCCACACAGAAGCGTCTCCCCCTCCTCCCCCCACCCTGTCCACAAAACCCCCCCTTAGAGATGAGTGTCCCCTACCAAGACAGTCTAGAGTGTTGTTGAAAACCCAGAGTGAACTTTTAGTGCTTTGACCATTCTTCTATTAATCAAGTGGAAAGATTTGTTCACAAAGAAATGCAAACAGTGCTGGGTGAACTGCTATTTCATGGTAAATGTGTGTGTGTGGAGGGTCCAAAAAATATTTTTAAATGTGAGGGGGACATGTCCCTTACCAGCATCACAGCCATGAAAAGAACAATGAAGTCATCAGCAGCTGTGAATCAGTTTTGTAGAGATACAGTACAGTAATCTAAAGAATTATTTCACAATGAACTGATCTTTGTTCTTTATCTTGCAGCTCCCAGCTGAATGCATGCAGCTCATTATTTTTGAATTAGATGGTCAACTTTAACTTCAGTGTTTCCCCAACCATTATACAAGCGGGGCGGGGCGCCCCGCCAACCGAACCCCACCCACCTGTCTGCACTGACGTAACGCTAAACTAGCGACTCGCAATGCAGGTGCACCAGCTAAAAAGCTAAAGGCAGCCTCTTCCTTCATGCTGAACCCTCACGCTGAATGCACCCCAGCTACTCGAAAACTGTCGGTACAACCAGCGCACGGCTCATATGTGCGTCTGTCTCTCCCCCCACCCAAAAAAAAAAAAAAAAAAAACTGTCAGCGCATACAGCACACGGCTGCCTTTGTGTCCCCTACCCCTCCTCTAAAACTGTTGGTTTAAACAGCGCGCTGCGCAGCTTTGGACGAGTCTCCGTCCCCCCGTCACCCCCCCGGACAAAAATCACAGAAGAGATGAGCGCCCTGCCATGGCAAGTTATCTACGGGAAACACTGAACTTTATTTAATTATGATCCTCAGAGGGAAAAATCAACCATCTTATTTAAGCTGATCTAATTTAAATGATTTTTATTTTAATGCTTGTAGGATTTTTGTTTAAAATCTCTACATTATTATTTTTTAATTGACAAAATATTTATTTTACTTTAAAAAAAAAATTTAAAGTCTATTTTCCTTCATTAGTCTGCCTTCTGGGTCAACTTCCACATCCTCCTTCTCATCATCTTTGTCTTCCACATTCTCCAGAGCTCAGAACTGATGCTTGGTTCTGGACCCCCTCCTCTGCGCTGTCACACTAGGGCTCGGTCCACTCTTCCTCTTCTAATGATCATCCTCTTCATCACCCCCACTCTCGCCGACTTTATCACGCACTGAACTCATTCAACTTCCGCGTCTTTTTCTTATTTTCCCTGTAGATTATTTGGTGCTTGACAAATAACATTGAGCCTCCGTCAGAAAGGAGGGGGGAGGTTATTTACGTGTTTAACGGTGGTGGCGATGGTGTGCGTGTGTGGAGAGGTTGCAGCTTCTCGCTGTAACGCGCTTGAAATTGAGCTGTCAGCTTGGGCTGTCTCCCAAGTCGGACATCCGGCCTCTGACCGGAGCGCTTTAAGCACCATCTGTTGCATTTACATTTCATATGCAGAATGCAAGCTCCACACACCCATGCCTTGTTTCCATGTGGACAAGATCTAAATCCATCAAATAAACATTTTTGCTCCGTTTCCAATAAATGCAGTGTTTCCCCTAGTTAGCTTGCCATGGCGGGGTGCTCATCTCATTTATGATTTTTGCTGATATGAGGGAATGAGACATGTCTGAGCACAGCTTGTACTAACAGTCGGGGGCGGGGGGTGTTCAACATGAGGGAAGAGGCAATGTGAGTGCTGCCTTGGGCTTTTTAGCTAGAGAGCCTGTGTTTTGTGCCGCTACCTTAGTGATATGTCGGTTCCGGGTGGGGGTGGGCAAGTTCAGTTTGGTAGGTGGGGTGCTCAGTTCTGTTGACGGGGTGGGGCACCCCACCTGTATAATGGTAGGGGAAACACTGAAATGCAAACTTACCAGGAGCAATCTGTATTTTACACCCGGACTCCTGCTGGATCCGCGATATTTGCTCTCCTCCTCTTCCAATAACTAAAAAATAAAAAATGGTAAGTATCAAGGAATCAAAATGAGTATTTAACCAGAAAATAACAAACTCACTGAATCCAACCATCCCATCTGGAACCTTGAAGTCTTCTGACATTGACCTGGAAATGACAAGATTATCACCAACATGAAAGCAACAAACACCACAAAGTGTGATTGGTAAACAAATATTTAAAATCTACCTTTGGGGGCCACCCATTCCTCCCATAGCTGCAAAGGCTGAAAATAAACAGCACATTTAACAAAAAATAGAGACAATAAAACTTAATGATACAAATGTTGGCTAGTTGCTTGTGGCAAAAAGATTTAAAACCATTTACCATCATTTGTAGCGACTTTCTTTGTCTCTGGTTGATCTGTGACAAGACGACATAATAAACAAGATAAGTACTGATAATATGCACAACCAGCGCTCTTAAGCCTGGAAACAATTTTAACAAATATTAAAAATGGGTGGGTGTTTAAAAAGCTATTTGAATTTGAAACAGTTTATATGAAGGATGCATACACGGCTGAAACATTCTCATTTTATCATCTCAAGTTACTCCTATGAAACCGAGCACGACAATCTCGGGGGCAGGAATAAGAATTTCTCCAGGTTGTCCAGCGGACCTCTTGACGGAATGTGGTTGTCCGCAACCTTTACAATTGTACTATATACAAAATTTAATATATACAAATGTTCTCAAGTCAGACATCTTGTGGCCTACTTGGAGGTTCCAAGCTAATGAGTAGCAAACTCTTTCATAAGCTGCTCGAGTGGAACTTCCTCAATCTCCTCCTCGTCAAGACTTTGCAAGCGAGGCACTTGCACCGTATTTAAGGCAGGGATTAAAGAAAAATAGATACATTTTGATTGAAATTTTTTCTGCATCTAGCGGTTTCCCCAAGCACCCCACCCCCGATTACCACACATTTGAGGGCTTCTTCCTGCATACAGGTAATTTCTCAAAAGGTTTTCATGTAGAGTTTACAGAGCACAAGACCTTAGTATACACAGTATACTGTGTACGTGACCTTAATAAAAGTACAAAGTATAGTATCCTGATGCATGCTCAATCCACAGTAGTGTTCTTTAATTAAGCACCATCAAGACGAACGGCACTGTAAAGGCAGAGAAGAGTTTGGAACAACTTTTCTGCAGTTTACCTTTATGTCATTTCAGTGTTTTAAATTGAGAGGCTATCAAATATAGTTTGAAAAATTATAGCAAAGGAAGTCCTTTGACAAGTATAAATTAATTTAAAAACAAAATTTTTGTGGCCCGACTGACAGATTTCTACTCTAAAATGATTATTCCATTCAAAGGGATTATATTTACAGGACTTCAGCTCATCTAGTCATTAAACACCATTTATTTTTCCATATGTGATCATTTATTAAATTACATTTATCACAATAGTTACCTCGGTATGGTTCTAAACCCAAATCATTTTAGCTCATCGTAACAGCCACAACACCTTGTTATTGCTAAAACAACGTGTAGAATTTAACAGATAATTATGATAAACTGTGCACACTTGAAACAGGCTCTCAGAGAAATTGGTGAGATTATGGTAAAAAAAAAAAGTTAAATAGAGACGCACAACTTTGCTAAAATCTGGGGCATGTAAATATTAATCTTTTAGTGTTAATATTGTTTAATTGTAAAACGTAAAGTAGCAGAAACAGCCTCTCTCACCGTGAGAGACAAACAGGCTGTGTGTTCTCATCAAAGCACACCCTCTTTCTCTGAGCTTGAATTTAATCAAACGCACAAGATGGACATTTCCGTACGATGATGACGAGGCTCCGAATACGGTAACATTCAATATCAAGGTTAGATACGAAGCTCGTGGGGAGGTTGATGCACGGTGCAGGAGGAGCGGGTGACGGTACAAGCGGGTGACGGTACATCAGTTCTGGTATCTCCCTTGGCTTCAGTGAATTGGTCACATGCAAACACATATATGTAGATGTTTAATAATTTATTACACGTCATCACCTTTGGTTAGAGTGCCAGGGTGTCCACTTTGGAAAATAGTTCAGGAAACACTGATTGGTGCTCTCACCTGCAGTCTGTCTTTAAGTTTGGCAAAAACTTAGTCCCTTTAACTTTTGGTGACTTTGATAACGGAGCTGATAGCTATGCGTTAGAAGTAGGGATGGGCCAATCCGATCCAGTATCAGCCTCCGATACCAGCATAATTTACGCATCAGATTTTTTTCGATCCACCTGCAGAGATTTCCGATCCATGATGCATGTTGGCTTCAAACTATGGAATGGATTTCCTGAACGGCGGCGTGTCTCATGAACCCAGAGTAATAAGACCCGCCTCACATTCAGGAAATCCAGTTCATAGTTTGCAGCCAGCTACAACATGAGGGCTGAGTTAGCAGCACTGTAGCTAACAGCTAACAAACTTTTCATCTAAACATGTCCGCTGTGTGGAAGTATTTTACACTAGAAACACCACAAAACAAGACAGCATCATGCAATGTCTGCAGAGCCGTAGCACCACATTAAACCGCAGTAAAGTTAATTTCATTTTCAATTCAGAGAATATTGTGGAGCCAAACTTTTGTTACTGTGAAACTTTTTTCTATTAAAAGCTATGACTTATTTAAGCTGCCTAACGACATATCAACTGTACCAACTACCAACTAAATGTCAGTTGCTGTCTCACTATAGTCTGCATGTGTTTACAAGTAAGCGACGAGAAAGCTGCTGCGGGGCTGCGTTTAAAAAAAAAATAATTCACGGCTTATTATTGTGAAGCTTGCAAAACTGTGGAGATGCCCCAGACAAAATGTGGATGTTTTGTTAAAAACCCAATGACTTAAATCAGGTTCAAAACTAAGATTTTGTGCCTCTGCAACTCCCACAAATAAACTAGGAACCTCTGTGGACACAGCCCAGTAAGATACTTGATTTAGATATTCATTAGTCAAACTTTTAGTAAAAGTATGATTGACTGTACCACACAGAAAATCAAGGGTTGGCGTCAATTAAGCAATACCATTAGTAATTACCCACGTTAATTCAAGTTTACTTCCCTACTTAATTTTGTGCATTCAACTAGAGATATTTTGTTGGTGGGTAGTATTGTATTATTGCAACAACTTTTTCATTTCAAGTGGTCACTTTTATTGCTCACTAAAAAGCATTTACCCTTAAGCATAACCTTGAATCCATGTTCAGTCACTAAATGACAATAAAGATACATTTACAGTCACAGACTCCAAACAGCAATAAAAACACACAAACATTATAAACATGCCACAACCTGCATATTGCAGGAACATACATTTAATGTTATATAAGCTCGTGTTAAGCCATAACACTGGGTTGGAAATGTTATTATAGAGGTGAAGCAATGCAATCGGTGCAAAACTAAAAACACACAAGTATTAATAATGAAAACTAGCACTGAGATGGATTTTGAGCCACTGACCGATATTCAGGTTAGGCATGGGAAAATACCCACCAGCGTCCTCCAGGGGCCTTTTCTGGCCTCCGTAGCCAAACTCGTTGGTTGGGGGTGTCGTAACGCCATCTCCGCCGATCTTCGCTGCAATCTTCGCATAAAGAAAAAAAATAAACATAGGATTAAAAATCATTATTTGAATGTTAGATTTGGAGCGTCTGGTGAGGCACGCCGCCTGCGGCCTACATCATGTCCGGAAGTCGGACCAACAAAGGAGCGCGTTTACGTTTACCTTAATGCTTCGTTCATTTTCAGAAGTTGAATTGCTTCTTGTAATTATATTATATTATTTTATTATCTGTGCACTGAGCTATTCTCGCATTAACAATACCATCTGGTTTTATCTGGCAGTGAGGCGTAACGTTAGTCATCATCTTTAACTAGCTTTAGCTTAGCCAGCCGTGCTCTCGGCGTCAAATAAATCAACGAAACTCGCGTTATTCTTTGCTATTTCGACGTTTTTATAAGTTTACTCATATGATGGTGCTTTTTACCTGTCTTGCTCGCTGCAGAGCGTCTTTGAAAGCGTCGTTCATTCCACCTCCAGCGTTAGAGGACGGGGGAGCCACGCTGCTATAATCTGCCATCTCTGCTGCTCTTCTCCGCTGTCGCGCTCTAAGATGGAGGCTTTCATTTACCGACGATTGAGGTCTGAAATCTCGCGATAAAACGCGTTGTCTCGCGATAACAGAAAACTAGGAAGTTCAAGCTAGAAGGAAAGAATGTTGACGTTTTTTCTGCTGTATTCGTTTTCAGAAAACTTTGGTTATATAATACTTTAGATAATTGACTCTGTAAAAAGAAAAAATAGTATTCTTTTATGACAAATCCTCTCATGGAGAAAGCCTCCAAGTAAATCTGCATTGCCATTTAATACCAGTTTATGATTTGCTAGAGAAGAATAATAAAAATAAAAACACTTTGAATTCTCTAACCTGACTCTACAAAAAAAAAAAGCATTTTGTTTTTATTATAAAAAATATATAGGACTTAAGATAAATTTCCAATTTTAATTTGTTCAAAATTGTACTTTTTTTAAAAACAAATATTGGCTCTTTGTATCGATTGTCTAATTGGAAAAACATATTTGAGATAGGAGTGGAAATCGACAACGGTTTATAAAGATGGTATAAAAGGGGGACAAAAAAAAAAAAAAAACCAGCCAGATCCCCCTTAAGACCCCTCGATCAAACACACTAACTGAAGTTATTTAATTATAAAGTTTATTAACACACAACAGAACATACAAATACACATTAAAAACAAAGACAGACTGCATCTACATTTTGTCATATTTAGGTTAACCTTGCAGAGACAGGTTTATTATTTCCAAATCATTGTGTTGGTTTTATTTTCTTTATTTGAGAATTTGAGGTGTCAACGTTCAAAATAAATTAATTAATGAATAAATGAAAAAAGAGCCAGATTTGCTTCAGCCTATTTTCAGGATTCCTGTTATTTTTGGAAACCTATATGTCATTAACAGTCACAAACATTGATGTTCCTCAAGACTCAGTGGAAGAAAACAAAATTTCAAATTTTTTCGTGAGAGTGTAGTTAATCAGCGCACATGGAATAGCTCTGACGAAGCTGGCTCCCATGCCATTGAAGTATCCTCTGAATCCATTTCGCTCGTATATCTCAGTAAGTCCTGGTAAGACGCCCGAGGCTGGATGTAACCCTGAGCTGAAAGCTGGAAAAAGGGACAAAAATGATGAGTAAAGCATCAGCTCAGAAGCTTAAAGAGATAGTCTGTTCATTTTTGAAGTGGTGTTTTGTTAAATAGTTGTCAATAGTTAGAATCTGTTTAGATGTGACATCAGTCATGGAGTGCAAAGTATTGAAAAAAGGCAGAAGTTTTCATCTATGCTAACAGCTAGCCAAACAACAGCCAGGATTTTATCATAATTCAGTCTTATACAATAAGTCTTTCTCGACAACGATGTACTGGTGTGAACGAACTGCATTACCTAATATTTCACGTTAAAAACAGGCCCCCTTGTTGACTAGACATTATCCTGGATGAAACTTTTTATCTCTTTCTCCATATTCTTTGCTCCACGGCATAAATCAGTTCCTCAACATCCACAAAGGTAGGTCCGTCTTTAATTTGGCTCTGGTTGTTCACAAATCACTAATGGAGCTGGACACGTCCCGCACAGATGTGAGCTTTCAAAAACGAAGCAAACATCGTGGAGCAAAAAGAGGCATGGCTCAGAACTCGCATCGCAGCACGACGGCTCAGTGGTTAGCACTGTTGCCTCACAGCAAGAAAGTCCTGGGTTCAATCCCCGGTTGAACCTGGGGTCTTTCTGTGTGAAGTTTGCATGTTCTCCTCGTGCTTGCATGGGGTTTCTCCAGGTATTCCGGTTTCCTCCCACAGATCAAAAACATGCATGTTAGGCTGCCTTCAGGCCCAGGCCTCTCTTGCAAAAGAGATCTGTGATCTCAGTGGGATTTGCCTGGTTAAATAAAGGTTAATAAATAAATAATAAATAATTAAATGTGTGATTGATGTCCATCTCAAATCATTTTCAGAACATGACAAACTAACTTAGTTCAGCAATTCTTTTTGTGGTTAACCTTGTTTTTAACTAAATGTAAAGTTACTATGGATCAATATTGATGTTCTTCTTGGTAATCAATCAATTTATTGTTGTCCGTGCTTTTAAGTCTTAAAGTGATATCACATCTTTGAACCGAAAAGCCGGCTTACCTTTTCACATGTCAGCTGTTTCGGCTCTGTTACTACCTCACTTGGTGACACAAAGGCACAACAGCGGTAGGTTGGCTTCAACCCTCCCCATGCTGCCTTGGTGCATTCGTAAATCTCACTAAGACAAGAAGTCTAAGTTCCAGCCTCAGTTTATTTATTTTTGAATGCAAGTCCCTTATACTGTTCATAAAGGTACTATTAGCTATTTAACAGAACAACACTATGTGTGTGGGTCGGGGAGATGACAGGTGTTACCCTGAGATTGCTGCTGAGTTCGGATCACCGCCAGCGGATAACTGCTGATTTGTCCACAGGCAAATGCCACAAAACTGAAGAAAAACAGTTTGTAGTCACTGTTGTAGTTGGGCTGGCTCCTCGCCCAGTTCATAATGGACTGCGATGAAAAGAAAAACAGTTGTTTTTTTTAATAAACATTGCTCTTTAACACCAAAGTTCATGCTCAATAATCCAGGTATAAAATCCAACAATGTTCAGTCATGTCATCTGGACGATTTCTTTTTTTGCTGAGACATTTTGTCAGTGGTGTAGTCTACATTTTTGTAGTGGGTATACTGTGCTAGAAACCAAAGTGCACCGGTTAATACAATGTATTGATTTTGATTTTAAAGCATATTGAACATTTCCAAATTTCTCTGATGCTTATAATTGAATAAATGAACAACAAACTTTGTACAACAGTTGGCTTTGTATTAAAAACTTTATATAATTTATAAAACAGTATCAAAGCATAACATGTTCAAGTATTAAGTAGTAAGTACAGATTTAGACAATAATTCGCTGGATAAGCAAATGTAATAAACAAGCGCTGCATACAGATAGATTTTTACAGAAGGGTTTAACTGCCATTTAATGTATCAATGACACGTGTCTAATGATATGTTGTGTATCATTGGGCACTTTTAAGTGGGTATACTGAAATTCTTAAGCTTTTCTGGTGGGTATACTCCATATGCCAAAAACATGCATGTTAGTCTGCCTCTCTTGCAAAAGAGATCTGTGATCTCAATGGGATTTGCCTGGTTAATGAAGGTTAATAAAATAAAATAAAAAATATGCTTGCGTATCGTGTAGACTACACCGCTGCATTTTGTCCTTCATCCAAAAGACTTCCTCAATCCGAAAAGCCACCCAAAAAACAAGCTCCAGAGGCCATCTTAGCACCAGCAAACTGTTTTTCCCACTATGCTATGGAGTGTGCTGTTTGTGGGAATCAGTTTTCTTTGGTGGCTTCTCGCCTCGGATTGAGGAAGTCCTTTGGATGAAGGACGAAACGTCTCAGCATAAAAAGGAAACCGTCCAGATGACCTGACTGAACATTGTTGGATTGCTCTTTAACTTCGTGATGTCCAGAGTTGCTCACCTGATGAACTGCACACTCCACACCAGCGTAGGGAATCATACAGAGGATGCTGGGTTTGAAACCTCTGTAAAAGGAGGACAAAGTCTCGTGTCTGTAAATGGACCGAGCACACGCCACAACACCGTGGTACGTGCCGGCCTGCTGCAGGTTCAGCCTCACCTTCAACACCTGTGGTGCAGAAAAGAGGAGACAAAGAGCCACTAAGACAAGTCAGATTTTATTCATATATTCAGATTAATTTGAAAAATGGACATGGATAATTTGGATTTTGATGTCCGAAAGCATTTCACCTTCCTAAATAACTTACAGCACTAATTGTGTTTACTTTTGTTTGTATCATTAGTGAGAAAAATGCTTCTTCCAATGTTGGTGTGACAAAACAAAGAACGGAACAGAAATGTTGATTTCAGACCTGCCTCTGTTCTCTGATACCTCTAAGGGGTAAAAGACGGCGTGAGCAACAGTTCCAGAGATGCAACCCAAGCCAAAACGCTGCTGCACTGTAAGGGTCTCCTGACTTCGGTTCTGGGTGTAAACCTTCATCTGGATGAAGCGTGTTTAGCAGTTAGAAACAAGAAGATATCTGGGAATCGTTCAGAGTGGAAAGCTTGGTCCAGTCAGCCATGTTTCACCTGCGCATAGATGAGACACTGCAGCGTGGACTGTGGCGTTCCTTTCAGGACGTTGACAGCGTTGCCTTGCCACATGGAGCGCAAACCGCCTGCCTTCAGCTCCTGGAAGCCTTGGGAAAAGGCCCCGGATCCTTGAACCTGCGGAGCACACAGGAAACTTCAGGGCCGTCAAACTAAGTCACTCCCGGAAACCAAAAATATAAACTTTGTCTCCAGTTAAGACTCTGGCAGCAGCATTTTGGATTAACTGAATACTTTTTAAAGAAGTGTCTGGACACCCAGATAACAAATCATTGCAATGCAAGTTTTATAAAGAAATAAAAAGAAAAAAAATATTTGAGAGCAAGGCAGAAATAAAGAATGCTATGTGTTTTGAAACAATGGTTATTTTTTATTAAATACATCGTGCTTGTTCTAAATTCTATATAATACAAATGTCACTGGGAAAAAGTTTTTTTATTTTATTTTATATGAACACAGTAATTTGACATATTCCATCTGAATATCAAGGTCAGTTTATATTTTCTCATTAAATATTGACCCAGATTGACACTTTGCTGAGTTAGCAGGAGAGATCATATCTCTCCAGTTTTAGCTTCTCTCCACTGTCAAATCCAGAAAATTGAATTCAAAATCTTACTTCTAACCTACAAAGCTCTCAACAACCTAGCTCCATCTTATATGTGAGATCTTATTGTTTCATATTTTCCTAACAGAGCACTTCACTCTCAGACTGCAGGTTTACTTGTGGTTCCTAGAGTTTCCAAAAGCAGAATGGGAGGAAGATCTTTCAGTTATCAGGCTCCTCTCTTGTGGAACCAACTTCCAGTTTCTGTCCGTGAGGCTGACACATTGTCCAGTTTTAAGATTTTCCTTTTTGATAAATCCTATAATTAGTGTTGACTTGTTATGCTGTCTTAAGCTGAGACCACTGGAGGACAAATTGACCTCATGTCCTTAAATGAGTTGCTAAAATTGAATAATTTTCATTTGATATTATTTCTATCTTAACATGTGATTCTTGACCTGCCATTGTGTATCTGTTCCTCTCAAGCCCAGCTGGTTGAGCCTGGTTCTGCTAAATGTTTCTTCCTCATGAAGGAGTTTTTCCTTTCCACTGTCACCTTCGTGCTTGCTCAAGATGAGAGTTCTGTGATGGAGTTAAAATTAAAGCAGTCTGCTCTTCAAATAAATTATGTTAAATTATTATTTTTATATATAAATGTTTCTGTTCAGTGCCCTGAGACGACTTCTGTTGTGAGTTGGCGCTATATAAATAAACTGAATTGAATTGAATTGAGAATTGAATTAAGACATTTTATCATAAACCGTTTTATCATATTCATGCGAGTTAGTTCACTGTGGCAACCTTTAAAAAAAGGAGCAGCCGAAAGAAGAAAAAAATAAAAATACGTTTTTTCATAAACCATCAAACCTGCTTAAAAGATACCTTCTACAAATAAAACATACAATGAAACAAACACACAGCTATAACATTTTGGAAGAAATAAAGATTACAGAAAAATATAAACATTAAGTCCGGCTCTTTGTTGCTCTGATGCATCAGTTCAGGTTTTATCATCAAGAAAAGTTTGATCGGTCATTTTCTGAGCTGCTCTTTCTTTCCACGACTAAATCAAAGCTCACAGAGAGATCAAATATTAACTACAGTCCATAAATAATTTGCTCTGATAATAATGATTTTTGACAATGAGAAGAAACAGAGCCGGCCAGTTCTAACGGATTTACATTTATTTAATGGACCTTCAGTTTGACACAGGTACTGCACAGTCCGTACATGTGAGCAAATGGTTCCTATTTACTAACTCTTTGAAGCAGACTGAAGGGAACGCGTGAAATAATTGAAGCTTTATCCGTTTCAATTCACCAACTGCTGCACAAAATTATGATTACTCTTATTATATGAATATGTTAAGATGTGTAAAAGTTAGTTTTCTCTGTACTGTGGGGGATAATATTGATAGGATAATATTACTACATTTTCCATGTTGTATATGGCTGTTTTTGGAAGAAAAAAAAAGAAGCTTTAATGCATTAGGAATTAAATGTATTTGTTATCCTTCACAATAAAAGAGTTTACGCGTTTCCTTTTTTTTTTTATTAATAAAAAGTGTAATATGTTGATTAAATCTCTGTGAGATTTTTGTTCTCGGCTTCAGATGTAACAGATAGAAAGTTACATAATGTTTCTATACAACTTTTATGTGCTTAATTGTAAAAAAAACTAAAATTTTACGATGTAAATTAAAGACCTGTAGCCAAAACTCTTTGTGTTTCGACAGTTTCTGTCTTTTGTCAGCCAGTTTTTAACCAGTGGTGACTGCGTTAGGCCAAACCTGGAGCTGGGTTTTCAGACGGTCTATGGGTGCCGTTGCAGTTCTAGACACAGCATCAGCAAGACCCGATGCCAGGACAAATGTCCTCCAAGCACCAAAACCAGACACATCGTCGGGGAACTCGATGGGCATCGCTCGACTCTCTCCCACGTCAAACACCTACAGAATGGCCAACGGGGACAATCAGCTCATCGGCTTCTGAATCGTTTTTTAAATTAATTGTGTCAGAAATAAATTACCAAACTGTGTTTCCACGAGGACACGAGCTCTCCAATGTTGTCCACAGGGTTTAGGACGATGTGGTGCAGAAACTCATCCCAGTCCACCGTCATGGAGCTGTCCTTGTCCATCCTGGTGAGAAACGAACACGACGTGCATGTCAGAACATCACAATCTGTACATGTTGCCTGTAATAAATGAGTTAAACTTCAGAGAACAGAAATAATCTGTTGGGAGACGAGTGTGGAAAACACTGAAGCCTGTTTCTGGGACACAACTCACTCACTCTTTAATGTTTGCAATGAATGAGTCAATGAATGTTAAATGAACGACATTAGTTAGAACGCTGAAGATTTTTGTGTGTTTCATTGTTTAAAGCTTCACACTCGTCATTTTTTAATTTATTCTGTTTATTATAGTCTTCACACTTGATGCGGTTTTAACCATCCATATATAAAAACATCCATGCTATGGCTTTTGGTTTGTAACTTTTACACAATATTTAATTTTATTTGACAAAAAAATGTCCCAGTAAAAATAAAATATCCACTTCAAACACTGTTTAAAAAAATTGCTTTAGCAAACTGGTTTTACTTGAATCTTCTTGATTCCACCAGCAGTCACATATTGAAGTGTCCCTGGGCAAGACACTGAACCCCCCATTGTTCACCGATGTGTGTCCCATCGGTGTTTGAATGTGATAAAGCACTAATTAGTCTTTGTAGAGATCTAGTAGAGCGCTGTATGAATGGGTAAATGAGGCACAGATTGTGTTGTAAAGCACTTTGAGTATCTTGATTAGATTAGGCGCTGTATAAGTACAGTCCATTCCTTTCTTAAATTACTTTTAGTTTTCAGCCACTGCTGTGCTACATTTGGCTTACGCTAGCCTTTTGCTTTTTTGTTATCATTTTGCAAGTTTTAGCTTTTAGATAGTGTTTGGCTACTTTTGAATTTTAGCATTTAGCTACTTTTGGCTTTTAGTTACCAATCTGCTAATTTTAGCTTTTAACTACAATTATACTTTGAAATTTTGCCTAGTCCTTACTTCCAGCTGGCCTTTTTCCCTTTTTGCTAGCATGTTGCTGCTTTTAGGTAGCATTTTGCCACTCTTATTCATTAGCTAGCACTTTACTACATTTACCCTTTTGCTACTTTTAATTTCTAGCTAGTCTTTTATTGTTTTTGGTGTCTGCTAACATTTATCTGGGTTTTGAGATGCCCTTCTGCTACTATTAGCTTTTAGCTAGCCTTTTTCTACTTTTAGCTAACCTTTTGTTGCTTTAAGGTAATTGTAGCCTTTGGCTTGCATTTTTCTAATTTTAGCTACTACCGCACTTTTAGCTGTTTTTGTTCTTGTTGTTTTATTAGGCTTCTTCTTTTAGCTTTAACAGCTCAGTTTCAGCTTCTTCAGCAGAAGTTCGTATTTGTTCAGCTCTCAGGTTTACGCTGCTTTTTGCAATGATCTGTTTTTTTTTTCTTCTTTTAAATAAAACTTATTGGTCTGTGTTTGTTTGAGTTTATTTAACAGCTCATAAATCAGCTTCAAACCAGTTCAGTAACTGCTAGTTGCGCAAAGTGATGCACAGCAAACAGATTATTTATGTAAATTAGAGCAATATGTATTTTTTTTTATCCCAACATAGAATTATTTGAATTAGAACAATAAATCCTTGAGGTAGTAGACAAAAATCTCTTACATTTGTATGATTTTGTTTGCGTTTGGCTTTGAAATGACCACTCCCAGCTCCTTAAACAAACTTATGATGTCCTCCTGGTCAATCACGCCTGATCACAAGAGAAACAGAGTTAATAAAACACAAACAAAGTCTGTTTGACTTCTGGTTTCCTGAAAGATGTCAGGTGCAAAGGTGACCGAAGCGTGATTTTATGTGTATCATAAACAACTTTCATGTTTCTGTTTAAAACCTTCCCTGTAGACCTTAAAAAGCTCATTTTTAGTGTGAAAAACACAAACTTAAATGACGTTTGGGGATAAATGTACACATTTATATAAACTAATTTATTATAATCCAACAAAACATAAAACAGGAGGTGCAAAAGTTAATAAAGCCATGTAACATTCCCTAGAAAAAGGTGACATTTTCAAATAATAAAAGTGTTTTTATAACTCACCACAATTGTTCTTGTCAAGGTCATGAAAGTGAATTCTCCATTTTTTCTCTCTGTCTCTCATGTAGCTGAGAAACTCTTTATAATCCAGCCGGCCATCTTCATCTTTGTCGTAAGAACTGATAATATTCTAAAGGAAAACAACTTTAACATCAAGTTGAAATTAATTTAACGGTGGATGAGCAGCTGAAATCTTACCTGGGCCTTTCCATCTGCTGAGACAATCCCATGTTTCCTCATTTCTTCTAGGAGTTCTGCCACCGATATGAACCCATCCTTGTTCTGGTCAAGTTTGACAAACAATCCATGGAACTGATCCATGAGTCCATCGGGAGAGGTTCAGGTTTTTGACATGTAAAATAATCAAGCGAAGCCTGCTGAGTGAGAGGATAAGTGTCCTGTCAGCCACAGTCGCTGACTCATCTGCAGATCCAGTGCAGAGGAGAGGTTTGCTCAGCAGCTTGAGGAGGAGAACTGACTCCCAGCAGGAGGCGCTGTGGCTGAAGAGGCTATAAATCCTGGACATTCTGTCCCTCACTGCAGTAAGATTATTTTTTTAGGTGTATAAAGCAGCTAATAGATAATGCAAACCTTAAACACATAGAATTAAGCTTATTGGACATTAATTTGCTGTGAAGTGATATTTTGTTCAGCTTTATCCATCTTTCCCTTTCTCAGCCTCCTCCTCTGTCTGACTAACCTTCTTTTCCTCTCATCACCTTCCTCTGGGGTCTCTCCATATCGAACATCCTTTGTCCAATAGATCCACTGTCTCTCCTCTGCACGTGTCCAAAACCCCTCAGCCTCGCCTCTCTGTTAAACGACTCGACCGGAGCTTGACGATGGTCCCTCCGTGGTGCAAAAAATGCATTAAAACAATTCAACGTTTTAGAGCACCTCACGCTTCCTGCCGCTGACCAACTTTATGGAGATGCAGATTTAATTCCCAACAGGACGCGGCGACTGCACACATGCAGGCATGCGTTTCTCGGCACCGGCCTGTGGTTTCTGACTGCTAACGTGAGCTAGCATTAGTGGCTCTGCGCAGCTTACGGGTGCCCGCCAAGGGTTTTCCAAAAGCACAAAGTCGAGCATCCAGATCAGACAGCCTTAATATGGCTTGAAAAGCAAATAAAGGAATTATTTGCTTTTCAAGCCATATTAATTTCAGAACTTATACTGTCGCTACTCAGTTTAGCTTGTCCTCTCCTAACTTTATACTTAAAATCATGTATATAATCGCTTGTGATCCTAATGTCGAGGACATAAGTTTGAGACTGTTCAGAGTATTTGTTTAATATAAAAAAACTAAAAAACATATATTTTTATTTTTCATTTCTAATTGCTTAAAAACAATATGTTTCATGTTTATAAGGTTTTACTAATCCTAAATAGCTTGGGAAGATTAAAAATTAACACTAAGCAACAACTGTGGACTCAAAAGGACAAAATTGTTTGGCCAAGGGGGGCCAGTCAAGGTGGGCACCATGGTGGCCATTCCCTCCGTGGCTGCCCCTTGATGGTGCCCCTGCCAGGTGGTGAAGTTCATCTTTTTAATGGTAGCCTTTCCAAAACTAAAGATGGTTGAA